TCCTTTTAGCTGGATGCGGCTGTCGTGGGAAGGCCATGGGACGTAGTGGCTTAACCCCGTGCGACAAAGAGGAGGGGACGGGAGGGAAGGGGAGAAGAGGAGAAAGGAGAGGAAGAACGCGGCGGCCCGGGGCCCCGCTTAGGAGAGCAAGCGGGCATTTCAAACACACAGGACACCGCTTGAGGATTCAGGGAAAAGGAAATCCGCCGAATCGGACGAGGCCCAACTGGAAGCCGCCTGAGTGCCGGCTGCACCCACCGCACCTGCTCCAGGATTTGCTCGTAGATGCGGCGGAATATGGCCTGAGAAAGGGGTTGCGGGGCTAGTGTGAGTGTGAGCGCTATTGCCTTCACCAAGCTAGCGTTTACGCACATATGTACGGCTAATGGTTCTCCCCGTGGCCCGGTTTTACATAACAATAACCTCGGGTTAAAACCAACATACAAATAATCTCATACATACAGGCATACGCACATGCGGTGGTCAAGTGTTGCTGTGGCGGTGAGGGCTGTGCTACGCAGGTTCGCGCATTCAATGGAACGTTTCTTAGAACACAGCTCTACCACCCTCTACAACATCGGCCCGTATGGCCCCTTCCGTGCTTTCCTGTCTCCCTCCCAAGTGGCCCACTGGGGCAAACTTTTCTGATGTGATCCATGAACGCTCAGGCCCACTACAACCACCACCACGGCGTTTTGGAATCGTCGAATTGTACTCATGACAAATCCAGAAGAGGCAAACGTGGAGGTGCCTCCTGCTGGGGCGCTGAGAACAGCACATATGTGGAACTGGCCTTTTTTTCCGTATGGGGGGTTCCTAATCGGATCTGGCGGGATTCGGTTATGGTGTTTGTTTCGCCAAGCCGCCCTCAGCAAATTAGGGAATCCGGTAGCGCACAACCTCCGCGTTAAATGGAAACCGTAAAGAGGGCTACGAGCTGGTAAAGACAGCTTTAAATGTCGAGTGGATTTTATGGATGCGTGGGCCGGGTCGCTGGGGCAAGAGAACGCTTTACCGAATAGAGTTGGGACCTTGCCAAGCCTGTTTTTCCAAAGCGAGGATGTGAACCATGCATGCATCCGAGTGCATGCAAGTGTCTGGGACACCCCAGTGGATTCCCCCATTTCGTTCATGGGGAGTCTGGCGGCTTCCGTTGTGCCTTGCGCTGGCGCAAACCCAACGGCTTTCCCCCTGCCGGTTTCCGGTCTTGTGTGTACCCTGATCCACACACCATGGGAAAACGATGACCCGGAGTCAGCTGTGGCGCCGAATAGTCCTCATGGTAGACTACTGGCAGGCCCCCTCCGCGCACTGACGTAACACAACCTTGCTGATAGCTGACGCCTCGGTGGCGCAGCCCCGTGAACGCTCGGTACAAGGCCTGATCTGCTGCTATGCGGCTTTGAGAAACACTAGTCCAGGAGGTTGAGTAATGGACACGATGGCATAGCACTGGCAAACGCCTCCACATGCTTATGGACCTCTTCGCCTGGTGCAGAGAGCAATGATTAACGCTCGCCTAAACCACTGATGCTTGTTCTAGTCGATAATATACAGGGAAAAGGCTGTTTTCCGGTGAAAGAAGCTCGTCCTCCCGAGGCCGTAACAACGAACCAAAGTCCTTACATCATTCCTGATCACTAAAGCATAAATCCTATACAAAACTTGATCGCTATGATATCTATACCTTTGGTGCTTGGGGCTTTAGCGCACGGAGTGACGTACTGTACACCACTTGTCAAGGCCCTGTGCTCCGGCGGCTCAATCCTTTCTGTTGGCTCATGTTTCATCCTTAAAGCTTTGGATCGTAAGGAGTAAAACAAAACATTTTATATGCTCTTGTTGCTTGGAAGAAAGACGCAAGCGAAAGTCCCCCTGGACCAGTCGGACCCTGGAGCTTCTGCCAGGGAGGCCGCACTTGGACGGGGCCCTGGGCTCAGTACCGACAGAAGCGTATTCTGTGCCTCCCCGGCGCGCCTGGGCGTGCGCCCAGGCTCGGAGGCGGCTGTGTTGACAGTGGATTGAAGCACACGCCTTAACTACGCGTCTCGCCCAAAGGGTAAGCCCTCACCCTCGAAACACAGAGGGACATTATATTATTGAGATAACTACCTATAGGGCTATAAATTATGTTGCTTTACTGCAGCTTCACTCGGACTGCGTTTCAGGCAAGCGCGCGCAAACTGACCCACCGACCCGTGCTCGTCACGGAGGTGTTCTCGCGGAAAGGGATTGTGCGACAGTGAGGGTTACAGTGACAGTCTCAGGCAGCAGTGACGCCAAGTCAGCGTTGCCTTGGTGTCTTTGGAGGGCGCTCTTCAAGCATCATGCAACTCCAGCCGGAGCTCGTCATACATCATGATAACAGTTTACGAAACCAAGATGGCCACACGGCAATCGTTGTTGCATACAACCACGCTGGACAGCAGCTGGACGCCAGCGCACTGGACGCAACCAGTCTGGCCGCCACGCTGGAGCTGCACTCCGTGCACGCACTGGACCAGCATGCGCAGGCCGTCATGGACCACGCCACCCAGGCCGCCATGGACCACGTGCAGGCATTAGAACACGCTCAGGCAGCCATTCAGCAGGCGCAGGCCGCACTTGAGCACGCGCAAGCCATGGGGCTGGAGCACCACGCCCACATGGTCGATGAAGCGGCCCTATCCGCCAGTGCGATTGTCGCCCATCTGGACCAGCAAAAGCTGCTAGATGCGCAGCAGGCCCAGCACGCGGCGGTCAGTCATCACCTGGCTGCGGCTGCTGCGGCTGCCGCTGCAGCCAGCGCTGGTGCTGCCGCAGCCGAGGACCCCGAGGAGCAACAGAAGCAGCTAGATGAGCTCGCGGCTGCACAGGCGCAGCTGCAACATCTACTGCCGCTTGATCTCACAGGCGCTGATCCCACCGCGGCTCAGCTGCACCTCGCCGGCATCATGCAGCAGGCGCTGCAAGTGGTGGAGCAGCAATCAGCTCTGCAACAAGGCCTGCATGCGCTGCCGCCTGGTGACCTGGCGGTGCAGCAGTCGGCGCTGTTGGAACAGGCTATGGCACTCGCGGCCCTTGCGCCGCTTGCCGGCACCATGCCAGGCATGGATGCCACCGGGCAGCCAATGTTTCAGCAGGTCTCAGACGCGGGCGCAGCGGCGGCGGCAGCAGCCGCGGCGGCAGCAGTCGCTGCTGCCGCTGCGGCGTCCGTGCCGCCCTCGGTTATCGCTGCACAGCAGCAGCAGCCATCGGGGCTGTGTTTGGTGCAACAGCAGCAGCACGCAGTGCGACGAGACCGGCGGAAGAAGCTGGGAGAGGGCGATAGTATGGACGGTGGCCGGGTTGTTGGCGATAGGAAGACACGCAAACGCAGTGAGAAGAAGCGCAAGCGCGCCGAGCGCGAGCTGCAGGTGGGTGTGTGTTTGCGGGCGCGTGTGATTCGGGGCCTACGCAATGGCACGCGGTTGCCGCTTTCTTGGCAAGTTACGGATGGCCAGGCGGCGGTATGTAAGGTGACCAGCGGACGGGCTTGGATGGGCAGGCGATGCGGGACTTAGATTTTGGTACGACGCCATCCACGCGGAGTTACAATGGCCTCTCTAGAGCCGCAGCTGTGGGGCCTCTTCCTCCGCCATAGGCCCCACAATGCTGCTGGTGTGGGCTTGACAACAAAAAGCGCTGCTGCTGCTCAGCGGCAGCTGCTGCACAGCGCCGCAAAGGGTATACAGCACATGCAGATACATCTGGCTCAATAGTGGCCAAGAGGAACTGCTGAAGGTTCCGGTGATGTGCCGTGCCTGGAGATGTGAACTGCTTGCCGTGCACAAACAGGCGCGTCTCAACCTCTCCCCTCCCCAAACACCCATGGGACTTTACTCCAAATCAGGAAGCTGCCGTGGGCGATGATGACGATGACGACGACTACGCCAGCACGGGCCTCGCCGCAGCCGCGGCGGCGGCCGCCAAGCTTGCACGGGTCCAGGCGGCGCAGGCGGCGGCAGTAGCCGCTGCTGCAGCCGCTGCTGGCGCCGTCGGTGCGCCCAGCACGGGCGGCATTGCGCTGGCACCTGCGCCCAGCGTCGGAAGCGCCGCCGCGGGCGGACCTCAGGGGGGCTCGCAGCAGGACCTCCCTGGCGGAGCGGAGCCCATCGGGCATGACGCCATGGGCTTGGACTCTGGTGACGGGTTCCGAAACCAGGCGCAGAGCCTCGTGGCAGCGTTGCTGGCGGCGGCGGTACCGACCCAAGGGTCCGCTCCTTACCAGGGCCTCGGCTCGTCGTATGGTGGCCTTGGGTCGGGAGGCGTGCCGGGATTGGACCCGCAGGCGCTTGCGGTGGCGGCGGCGGCTGCGGCCGCAGCAGCGCCGCAGCTGCCGGGGCTGCCATTGGGTTTGTTTGGCGGCAATGCGGGGCAGCTGCTAGGGCCGGGCGCTGCAGGAGGTTACGGATCGATGACTGACGACGGCTCGGCGGGTTTGGACGGGTTGCAGGACACGGTCCAGGTTAGTGTCGACGGGCATCAGCAGCAGCATTCGGACGCTACGGCAGCGGCGGCGGCGGCGGCAGCTGTCGCGGCGGCGGCCGCAGCGCAGGCTGCGCAGCAGCAGCACCATCAGCAGGCGCATCAGCAGCAGGAGGGTGCGGTTGGATTGCAGACGACCACGGCGGCGGCGGGTTTGTTAGATCCTGCCATGATGGAGCTGAACAAGCCGCAAAGAGGCGGTCCTAAACGGTGAGGTGCTTCACGGTATCAGGCGAAGCTGTTTGCACCGTTTCTCGGCAGGTTGTCGGCTCAGCCCAGCGGCATATCGACACCTACGTCGCTGGGTCCCTATTTTGTACTGCTGTGCCCCACCTTGATTCTATTGCGCGATGTCATGCTCGGTGGTCCGAAGCTTCACACAGATGTAATCCTGTATTCCTGTGTTCAGGAAGCCCGGCTTATTTGCCATTGTTCCGTGCCTTTTGTTGGAGCTGGTTTGACAAACACCTGTTTACCACACCGCGCCTTGGCACACGTGCTTTTGCCGTATTGCAGCATGACGACAATGTCCTGGAACGAGGACCTGCAGCGGACGGATGTGAAGTCGGGACCGTTTAGTCAGGCGGAGAGTGACGCGGCTAAGGCCGCCGCACGGCAGTACGCAGAGGTGCGCCGGGTCGGGCCGAATGCTATGCATGCGCCGCCATTCGTAATCGTACCCCATCGTAATTTCCAATCCTTCTACCCCTACCCATTGCCGACATTAAAAACATACGACAGGCGCATGGCAAGAGTTGTACGGACTGGAGCTGGATGTTTTCTCTTCAACGGGAGGGCATGCACGGCATGATTACGATGATTTCCGCCGCCGTACCGCACCGCACACGTAAATCGCTGTGGGCACACCTGACTCGGGTGCTGCATTCGGGCAACTATAAGGTACGCGTGCGGATGGGTGGCAGAAATGTGTGAACAAGTGGGCAGAAGCCGGAGGCCAGCGGATGCTAGACAGCCTTGGATATACGGGTCCCAGATCGTGTTCTATCCACGCACCAGGCATTATATTCGCGACCATTATATTTGTGCGCATGTTGTCCTGCTTGAGGGAACTGATCCCATCACCAGCAGCAGGCCCTAACACACCGGATCGTACATATCGTTGAGGAGGGCCTGGTTGGTTAATTGTGCGTTGTGGGCGTGCATGCGGGCGGGTGGGCCCATCCCGCTATGCCGCGACGGCGTGAGGTGGCGGCAAGGAGACGGGAACATCGTTCTTGCCTTACTGTACACTTCACCGCGCTGAGCTGCGTCGTGCCGCCTGGTGGCATCTGCGCTAAATGCTCGAAATGTTTGTTTTTCGAAGGGTCACTTCACGGAGGAGGAGGACCGGCGGCTGCTTGACCTGGTGGACCAGCACGGCCGCAAATGGAAGATCATTGGCCAGGAACTGGGCCGATTGCCGGAGCAGTGCAGGGACCGCTGGCGCCACATAGGGATTAACCAGCAGCGGACCACCGGTGAGTCTCGAGGAAACTAGGCGAGGTTGGTGCCGTGTGTGAACCTGGGCGGGTGCCAAGCCAGGGTGCCTTCAGCTTCCTTCAGCTCTTCAGCCTTGCCCCGCGCCTCGCTTCTCCGCATGTGCCCTTGTTAAGTAACGAACAAACACTTTGGCCTCTCCTGATCGTCCCGCCCGGGCCGTCCCTGTCGTCGGATTGGGTACATTTTTATTGGGGACAGCGGCTGCGTGATTGAAGACAACGGCTGCATGTCAATTGAATGCATTTTCCTCTAATAGTCCCGCCTTGCCGTCATGTGGCCCTGACTTGGCTCCGGCTTGTCCCCCCTTCAGGTCCTTGGAGCCAGGAGGAGATGGCACGTTTGCAGGTCATTGTGCAGGAGCACCTGGATAGCAAGGCGCGGGCCGAGGTCTTGGTGGATACCGGTTTGAGTATGGCGGCAGCGCTGGGGGTGGCAGCAGGTGGCGGTCCTGACGGCGGCCTGGGGCTGGGCGGTGTGGGGGCTCCTGGCGGCAAGGGGCCCGGATCCGTGAAGGGCTCCCGGAGAATTGTGCTGGATGGTATTAACTGGGAGGCGATTGCAGCGCGGATGGGGACGCGCAACCCGCAACAGTGCAAGGAGAAATGGTGCGTGGACTAGTTGCAGCGGATGGGCAGAGATTCTGGGGATTGCGAGAATTTTGTGGGCAAGTGCGTAGGTCTGATGAGTGTGAGTGGGTTGGGGTAAGCTCCACCTACCCCCACGGTAGGCTGGGAGGGAGGCTGGCTGAGGGGTGTCACCAATTGGGATGCCTCTGTCTCGAGGGAGCTGTGCGGTGATTGGAGCGGGACATCCGCCTCCTTGTCGGGCATTTCCTGCCCTTGCCGTCCAGCTGACTCTGCATCCGACAATCGGCCGGTTCCCCGAACCTCTTTTCGCGTTTCCCGTTCCGTGCGTTGGAGCGCGCCTAGAAACGTTCACGCGTCAAGAAGGTTACTTTCATCATATCGAATCTGCACCTAGTCCCTTGTGTACATCTGCGACTCACTTTTTCGGCATGTGAATGCAGGTATGATGCGCTCTGTCCCAGCATGGTGAGCCGTGGCGAGTGGGGTCCCGGTGACGACCGGCGCATGTTGCGGTCTCTCCTGCTGTCCGGTGCAACACGGGAGTGGGAAGTCAACTGGGACTCCCTGGTGGAGGGACGCACGGCACCCCAGGTGCGAAGGAACGCAGGGCTGCTCCGGGGGGGGATGGCGGCAAGGAAGGGTAGGCATGAGGTCGAGTTCGATGAGCTCGTTGGGCAGGGAAATCGGCGTGCGACACAGGCATCAAGAATGTTTTACAGGCGGGACGGGGAGGGGGAGGGGGAGAGAACAGTACGGGAAGGACCACACAGGCATTCACGGGTTCGCACACATCGGCACACGTTTTACCGTAGGATTCCAGTACGTACGCAAGAGGATGGTACACATTATGGTAACGGTGCCCGTATCCACATCGTGTCAAGCGGCAAATTCTCGCTCGTTACTTTCTGGCTTCAAACGCTCTCCGTCACGCTCTGCTGTCGCTGTCCCTGCCTCCTTCTGATTGTCCCTACGCAGTGCAAGCGGCGTTGGCGATTGATGCTCAAGTGTGTGCCCGACCATCGCAACATGGAGTTTGATGCCGTGCTACAGTTTCTCATCGATAAGTACGCGCCCAAGCTGCGCTCGCTGCAGGCCCAGCAGGCGGAGCAGCTCATGCATCAGCAGGAGACGCTCCAGCAGATGCTGCACCTGCAGGGCATGGGCCTGGTGCCGTCAGCAGCAGGCGCTGACGCCGGGGGCGCCGGTGGTGGCGGCCCGCTGGACGTTGGCGGTCAGCTAGGTGTCGGCCCGGGGCTGGGGCCGCTGGACGCGCAGCAGCAGCAGCAGGCAGCTGCGGCCGCAGCCGCGGCGGCAGCTGCCCTAGCGGGTCAGACGGGCGCTGGGGGGGTGATGGGGCTGCCAGGACTCGACGGCAATGCTGCCCACTTGGCAGCAGCGAGTCAAGAGATGCTGGCGGCCGCGGCAGCTGCTGCTGCGGCAGCCGCAGCCGCGGCTGCGGGCGCAGCCGGAAATCTTGAGAATGGCAGTGGGATGGTCGCGGCGCGGTAGGCACGGCAGTTCGTATGCCTGCTCTCCTGCATTCCGTTTTGGTCTTGGTGAACAATGCACGAAGGGCCGCGGGTATGTGGCGTGATGACAGGCAGGGCGACGGATTACAGTGAGATGATGAGCCGACGTTTAGTTTAGCAGATCTACGTGCTCGGTGAGGCCCTAGTAAACGCCTACAGGGTGGTGTGTAAGCAGTTGCGTGGTTGCAGTGAACAGGAAAAGGGAAAAGATCTTCAATCTCCCGCTGGCTCACCAGGTGCGAGGTTCACGAGGGACACCCACCGGACAGGGACTGCGTGCGGAACCTTAACCTCTTGGGAAACTACTAGCGCACGTCGTCCCTGCCGAGCAGGCTAGGTAGGTGCCATCCCGCTTGGGAAATAAATTGGAGTTGCGTTGCTGCATGTGCGTGTCCACATTGCCGCACAGTCATGCGGGGCTGGGGATTTTGGCTGACGCCTTGCCTTTGACTTGGGGTCATGAACACTCGGGTTAACGCAGCTAAAAGAATGGTGGTTACTGGTCGGTTCGCATTGGGCGGCTGCCTGCGTTTTCTGGTGCATTTTGGTGGTTGTCGCACCTGGCCGAAGAATGTATCTCACCCTAAAGAAAAGGCAGATGGGAAAGGGCATCTGACGAGGGAACATTTTGAAGTGTTAAAAAAGTTGTCTGTCACCGACTCCTGGACCTGCTTATGGCGGCTCGAAGGTTACCGAAGCAAGACGCGCGGGCGGGCGGATTGCGAGGTGATGAGGCGAGGCGCGGGATGGTGAAGGGGAGGGGGTGAGATGGGTGCCGCGTGCAGTACTGACACTGCTATGGTAGCATGGTGCGATAGGAGCGCAATACACTGTTGGGTTTAGTATTAGGCAAGCAGGAGTTGATTTTCGCGGCAATATAGCCCTAGGCGATCAGATCTTGACACGCAGCCCGTCGTGATAAGTGGGAATGTCCTATGGAGTTGCGAATGCAGAGGAAGCGGTGGGGCCCTCATTCTCGCGGCCTCGGGAGGGGAAATGAGAGTGGGGCTCTTTTGTTGAATGGATTTCGGCTTGCTTGGCGCCCCTATAAAATTGGGGAAGTCCCAGCTGCATCTGGTGTGTGCGCCTGTGTGTCAATGTGTCTGTACGGAGGCTACGCTCCGAGACAACACTAGATACAATGGGGGTTTAGAGCAGGACATCTCATCTCATTGTAGCGATAAATTTTGCCACTAGAAGTGAGAGGAGCGGAGTCCATACGGACGAACCTCTTGACAGCCCGACGCGCTGTGTGTTCCCGGCCTCCAGGATCAGCATGCGTGTGTATCCAGACGTCTTGAGTCGGAGCTATGCTGCCAGGTTGAAGATGGCCTCCAGCTGACTCACTGCTCTATTTCGAGGGTCGCTGCGCTTCGGGCAGACCGACGTCGTAAGGGGGGGGGCGGCAGGCGGACGGCGGGCCGCCACAGGTGCGCAGCTGGCGGGGCTACCCCACTCCCAACGCCACGATGCCCGCTTGGCCGGTGGGCCGTGGTCGTGCGCCTTGCGTCGGGTTCATTCGGGTGCTTCAGCGTGAGTGCCGAGCTGTTTCTTTTGTCGTCATGTGCTTTAGCACCTTTTGATGCTTTCATGTGTCGTTAATATGTGCAGTCATCCGTTGAAGTGGCAGGTAGCCTTCGGGAGTGCAAAGTATTGGGCCAGTGAAGTGGTTAAGCGACGTCAACGGTGTGTAGAGAGTTCGCGCTGGGTGGGCTAAGCGGCGGGCGGAGGTGGCAGACGTGTGCTGGGTGCGGTGGATGGCATCCATCCAGCTGTGTGTAAAGTGAGGACATTGGCGCAAATTGGTTTCCGGGCTTCTTGAGGTGGGTACTTGGTTCTGCTGCGGCTTATGGCTTTTGTCCAACCCTGCGGGTAGGGCTCAGTGGGGGTTGTTGCGGTGTGCTATGCCCCGCTACGCAGCGTGCATTGTGCGGCGGTGTGTGCAACGGGGAGGCAATGCGTGTGGAAGCGCCAAAGATGGGCAGCAGCGCAGGATGATGGTGCGCTTGGGAGCTCATCTCTCGTTTTTCCTTCACCTGTTTGCGGTGGGCTGACGGTAGGTTAGCAGGACAGCGATTGAGGACTCCCTCTGGGCAGTTTGGGCAGCAACTGTTTTGGCCGGTACCTGGCTTTTCATAATACCAGGGCCGCCGAGGCCGAGGCCGGCGAATTTGCCTAGAGCGTACGAGGTCGGCGCACATGCTTTAGGCTAAATCAAATAGCATGCAGGGTGACATGGCCTCGCGTTTCTCGCTTGCCCAGCCGAGTCCAGCGCTTAGCCGTCTGTGCTGTGACTGGGATATCCGCAACGTATGCGCATCGAGCCCCAGCCAAATTGGATAGTTCAGGGTTACCAACCTGATAACTTGAATCTTCATGCCGTTAACAGCCGCCAGACTACTTCCCAAGCTGCTACTCACACCAGCTGCCGCACGACGCACCCCCACATGTCGATTCCGTCCTATGCGCGCACACCCGTCCAGTGTTTACCTACAAACTTTGTCGGGTGCTGAGGGGCTATGCACAACCACCCACCCGCACAGCTACAGCGCCCGACACCGCATCATACACGCGCACAGCTGCTGCTGCTCCGCCGGCCGGAACCTAGGTCCCCGTTCCACCGGGGCGCCAGGGCCAGCAAAATCCCTTTGCTCCAGGGACCTCCTGGCGTTTCAGCAAGGATACGCAGCTTCCGTTCGTTCGTGCAACCTCCTTTCGATCATCCGTTCGTTAGCCCATGGCTGCCCCCACGCCCTCCTTGCGGCCCCCACCACCGCGTCCACCACAGCTGCTTGAGCGTCAGCCATCGGTCCTTAGCAAAACCTGGCGTGTGCACCAGTTCATCTCAACATCGCGTCACTATACACCGCTATTGCATACAAGGCCCAGCTCCCCAGGCAGTTCACGATTGGGTCCGTCATTGTTTGATGCGCCTTCACACAATTGCACAGCTTACCGGTGTCCATTTCGCCAAATCCCTAACACCCTTGTAAGATGGCGGGTTAATCTTCAGGCGACAGATTTGCTCCATCCATTCAGTGCGCACATTCATTCATGCAGTTGGTACACATGTCCACCGCAGTTTTAAAGCGTGTGAAGGGTCATCACACTCAACATCATGCGCACTTCCCATGGACGCTGCGGTGATATGCGGCAAATACCCAAAACGACACGACGAAAAGGCTCGACCAGAGCGCCGCAACACATGAGCCCCCCCCAATGCGGTCCAACGTCTGGTACACTCTTGCCCTGGCAGCAGCTTCACTCGTTCGTGGTTCGTCTTTCCCCCCAATGCGGCCCCAACATCCTTTCTCGTTCCTATCAGGCGATCCACGATCAGGCCCCATCCTCCGAGAGAGACCTGGCACCATCAGTCTGCCGGCCAGCTGGCGCTCGCCACCCCACGCACGTCGTCCGCCCCGGCCTCGTCCCGTACCACTGTATAGCTGCGCACCCGCTGCCGCAGCGCCGCCGCTGTTGCCACCGCCGCCGCGGCCTGCTGCTGGTGCTGCTCCCGCCGTCGGTGCAGCGCACGTAGTGCCGCTCTTTGGGACTGCGTCTCGCGGCCCGAAGCTGTCAGGCCTACTGGCGGCGACGTGCGGGTGGATGCCGCCGGAGCCGGCCCAGCGGTGATGGCGGCAGCGGCTGATGACTGGTACTCGTCGATGCTGCCCAAGGTGTCCTTCATATTGGTATTAACGGTAGCAGCGGCTGCCAGATGGTCAAAGGTCGTGACCAGTGCACGCGGGTGCGTGCTGGCGTTCGAGTTGGGATTGGAGCTGGAGTGCTGGCGGGGCTGGCGGTATCGATCGTGGTTGGTGTGGCTCGCGTTCTGGCCGGAGGCGCCGGAGCGCGGCGGGGACAAGGAGGCTGATCGACCCGGTTCGTCGGAGGTCCGGCGCCTGGAAGGAAAAGGGGTCATTGATGTGTGGGGAGGGGGGCCCGGCAGAAGGGAGGGAAAAGGACATGGAGCGGAAGCAAGTGAGATCAAAGCAAGTGATTGGGGAAGAGAAAGCGGAAAGAATGAAAACGACACGAAAAATGGAAGACGGATGGATGTAGGGCAAATTCCCAACCGCGGCCACGAAAATGGCGCGGGTCGCCGCATTGCAATTTGTACACCCGCACATCCGCAACGTCCTCCAGCCCTCCAAACACGTGCCTGTTAGGAAATACAGATTGATGAAGATCACGCATAAAATTACACAATTCGCCCAGCCTGGTTTTTGCCCAGTCCCGAGCACCTCCTACACTGATCGCTGGGAGGGGTAACCCCCTCCCAGCGCGCTGACCTCCCGCCCCGGCACCTGACGGGAGATGAGCTCAAGGGACCGCCTGCTGACCTTCCGCCGCGGTTACCCACGCCGCCCTCATCTGGATCGCTGCCGGCGCTCTCGCGCTCGACTGGCTCCGCAAACTTCACCACACGCGCACCTCCTCCAGCTCCCTCCGGCGAGCGCTTTGCGTTTTGGAGTTGCTGCTGCTGCAGCGGCGGCGGCGGCCAGTACGGTACCCCCGGCCCCGCCACGGCGCCCCCTACTGGAGGCATACCCCCCCAGGGCGCTACAAGGCCGTACGGGTATGGATAGCCGTAGGGCTGAGCGCCGGGGAATCCCTCCGCGCCCGGGTATGTGGGCGGCGCTAAGATCGGCATCAGCGTCGCGGCCAGAGGCGATGAGGAGGTGGAGGTGAGCAGGGGGCTTAGCGACAGGGGAAAGGCCGGCGCCGACGGGACTGTTCCTGCCACTGTCAGCGGTAACGCGTGAGTGGGGCTGTTGCCAGGTAAGGGAGCGCCAAAGGTAGGAGCGGGCTGCGAGGTGAAGTCCTGTATCCGCCAGGCGCCCATCGGCGACGACGGCGCACCGCCAGCCGCGGCTGCGGCCGCCGTTGCCGCTGACGTGGCCATGTACGCCGCCAGCTGCATTGCGCACCTGTCACGCTGTGCCCGCACCTCACTGCTCAGCTCCATCAGACGCTCATTTTCTTCACGTGCAGCCGCCAGCTGCGACCGAGCGCGCTCCAGCTCCCGCCGTAGCTGCGGCAGCTGCTGCTCCGGCGGCAGCTCTGCCCCCTCCGGTCCCGGACCGCCGCTGGCAGGCGTTGCCGCGTCGTTCTGGACCTGGGCCTCTGACGCGTTGAACGCTGGGAACGCGGCTCCGACGGCGGCGCCAGCTGTCGCCTCCTCCGCTGCCACCGCGGCGTTCGCTGCATTAGCGGCCCGCAGATGCATGGCACGCCGCCGCAATGCCCTATTGGCAGCCGTCAGCTCCTTCACACGTTGCCGTAGGAACGTTACTTCCGCTGCCACCGCAGCGGCTGCCGCCGCCGCTGCGGCGCTGTCGTGTGAGCCCGTACCAGCAGCCGCGGGCGATTGCCCTGCCGGGGCTGCCGCTGCCGCTGCCGTGGCAGCTGTTGCAGCTGCAGTAGCGACGGCCCGTGCAGCATGCAGCTGACGCTGAAGCAGCTCCACATGCTCCAAGGCCTGTGCAGGAAGAGTGAAGTGGCATAGTCATAGTTCGCAGTACCGTCAGTTCGGTGTTTCGTAAAAGCCTTCTACGGGAGGCGGGTGGTCACCGCCCTATGGAGCCACGCTCAATGCACCGCATCGCTTCGCCGTCAAGTCCTTGCGGGCTATTTTGCCTTCCGTACACCCTCTCTCGTATGCATGTCTTGGGGACCTTGCCTTGCTTTGCCTGGCACATGACAGGAAGCACGCATCCGCGCTCATGCCTGCACCAGCGCTTTCACAACGCCTTCCAGGCGCGTGTGCATGTGTGCGTGTGTGTGTGTGTGGAGTGTGCGTTGCAGCTAGCTGCTTCAAAACGTGGTCCCCACCTGAACGAGCCGCAAGGTTTGACGTGGCGTGCACACTGCTCACTTTAAGTCTTGGCGTCAACTGTGGTTCCTTCTTAACACAATCACGCACGCGTACATACACACCAGCTCCTGCCCGCAGCCTCACGTCAATAAACCCCACACACACCTGCTGCAGGTCCCGGTCGCTCTCCTGCAGCTCCGCCATGAGCGCCGCTGCATTCCATTGCCTGCCCACATCCACTGGACCCGTATCCGCAGGACCTCCAGCCGCTTCAAAACCGCCTCCGCCGCTGCCGACACGCCAGCCCTGGCCCAGCTGTTGTTGTTGTTGTTGCTGCTGCTGCTGCAGCAGCAGCAGAGGGTGCTGCATGAGCACGCTGTCCGCTGCAGCGCCCGCCGCCGTCTGCAGCGCCTCCATTTCCGAACGCATGACCGCCAGGGTGCTCCTCAGGCGTTGGTTCTCCGCCTCCACCTCCGCCAGCGCCGCCTCCGTCGTCGCGACGGCACTACAGCGGACAGACGGACGGATAGACCAGGTGGAAGACGCAAAACAAGGGTTTGTCGCGAGTTAGCCGCGAGTGGAGGATGAAACCACGGAACCACAGGCGCCCGAACCCGTGCTTCCCAATCTTCCTGCCTAGCCACAACGAGTTACACCAGGACGCATTTTAGGCCCCGAACGCACCTTGCGTCTGTGGCTGGACCTTGCGAGCCACCGGCGGCGGCCCCTGCCTGCTGCTGCTGCTGCTGTTGCTGGCCCTCAACAAGGCCCAGTCGGGATCGGTTAAGCGGCCTCAGCAAGTTGTCCAGACCCTCCTTGGAATTGCGAAGGTACTGAGCAGCGCGGGCCGCGGCCGCGGCGGCGGCAGCTGCCGCCGCCGCCGGGCTCCAGGGACGGGGAAAGTCCTGCGTGGCACAACGCCCCGGCCGGGTCGGGGCCATGGTCATGGTCATGGTCCAGAAAGGGTTAGGAAAGCAGAGTAGATATCGGGGCCCAGCGGTATGCTTTATGGTGGACATTAATGGGCACACAGAACTGGCTCAGCACGACAAATGGCCTTCCCTTAGAAAGTAGAGAAAGGACCCTATGATTGCCGCAGCCAAGCCTTATGTCCGCCTACCTGTAGCCCTAGGAGGCCGGCGGCAGCGGCGGCGGCGGCAGCTGCGGCGCCTGGCCCCGACGACGGTCCCAGCCAGAAGGACGCGGAGCTACGAGGGGAGGGCGGCAGGTCCAGCAATGGCGAGGCGCCGAACTCAGGCAGTGAGTCGTGCGACTCCTGCGCCAGTCAGGTAAGGAGGGCAGACACCGGGTCAGTGAAGGAGTTAACAAGGGGAACACCGTCAACACGGCTAACACGGCCAGGGAGGTAGTAGTCCAGTATTCCAGGAAGTATTCCAGGAATGGGTCTCCTCACAAGCTCCCGCCGGATCCCAAGTGAGAAATCAAAAAAGCAAATAATCAAATAATGTCTCTGAGGCCCTGAACACACACGCCTACACGAGTGCGCTTCCTTCCGAAGTAAACAGGCGTGCGCACATGATACACAGAGATGCACACACCTGCAGCGCCGCGAGCGTCAGAGCCGCGGGTCTGCCGGCCGTTAGCTGCCGGTGCACAGGGCCACCGCCGGCGTCAGGACGTGTTGGAGATGGCGGCTCATCGCCATCTGCGGTCCTAGGCGACGGCGCGGCGGCACCCTGTGCACCGGCTGCGGTGGCGGCGCCGCCGCTGCCCACAGGCCCCGCCTGCGCTGCCGCGTCCCGCGTCCGTGTCGTACGCTCCAGGCAGGCAGCCAACTGCTCCTGCGTGCCGTACGGCCCAGGTGAGAAAACCGCTGTTCGAGATAGCACGAGTCAAGACGTCGCGAGGTAGCTCCTCTCCATGCGTGCATGCATGCATGTATCCATGCATGGATACAGCCTCGGGTCGGCCTTTTGCCGTGCAGGCCCAGGTGCTCTGTGCGGACCCAGGCGAGAGGGGGCCCTCCTTCCTTTCACCTTCCTAGCTCGAGGGGGCTGTGATGGAACATTGCACATGCACTCCCGAGACCCGGCGTTCTCCGTTCCCCATTAGGGTGATGTCCCGCTAGCTGCTCTCGTGTTGACTTCCATTGACATTGAAGGAAATGCGCATAAGTCTTACACGTGTTTGAAAATACAATTTGAAATTTACATGCTTGTGAAGACAAGGACAAATGTATAACACGCGACGCGTCGCTTAAATGTTGACTTTTTAGGTAAAGCTGCTTTCCGCTTTGTACACATTCCCCCCAGCCTTACCCGAGCCACCTCCAGCTCATGCTGCCGTTGCTCCAGGGAGGCCTTAGCTTCCGCTAGCTTCTCACGTAACTGCCGTACGTCTTGCGCGTGCTCACCGGCGATGTCCCGCAGGCGCCGCTCCTAGGTTTCATCCGCGAAGAGGGTTTTTCAATTGACTGAGCCGCGAGAAGTAAGCGCTGAAGATGGCAAGAGGAAGTGCGTACGCGTGCTTTTTATGCGCTGTGTGCGTTTGTCGGAGAGAGATAGGACGTCTCAGTGAGTCCAACTGCAAAAAGCATGTACACCACGGCCCCGTGAAGGAGTAAACCAGAGGCAGCACAAGCAGGACGTACACGCATCTGGCTCCCCACCCCACCCGCTTACGCACCCACCATATCGTCACGGTCCCGCCGCATGGCCTCCGCTGCTGCTGCCTTTTCCACCGCCAGCTGCTGCTCCAGGGAGGACGCCCTGGACTGAGGAGACAGCGGCCACAATCACGAGGGCCAATCCTCGTCACAAGAACTACTGTATCATGACGGAGCGCTAAAGCAGGACGCCACCGCGAGCTCTGTGCTTTACGAGTGTGTGTGTGTGTAGCTGTGTGTATGTATGTCATCAAATCATACCGCCGGACCTGGTACGGACCCGGGGCCATGTGCATGTGGGTGCGAATGGGGACCTAGGTGGGGAGTATGGGAGGTGGGGTACTGAGCACGTTCTAGGGGGACGCGTGTGGTGGAAATCCAAACCGAGCGGACATTCCCACCCGAGACTCTCGACTCGCAACCCAGCCCATTCATACAACCCCGGTCTTGGGCCCACAGGCCGCACACACACCTCCTCTTTCGCCGCTCGCAGCTGGTTCCGGAGCTCCAAGGCCTCCGCCTCCAGCTGTGAGCCACGGCCTGCGAGGTAAGGTGAAATGCCCGACCTGCATTTGTGCAGATGTATTTTTATCCGTACAACTTTAATTTGCCACAAGGGCAAATGGATGCGTATATGAATGTGTATACGCGTTGTGTATGTGTGTTGTGCGCGTTTCCTGGCTTGGGTGGGTGGGGAATGCAGTGCAGGGGTCCAGATAACCGGCAAGCCAGCCGCCACAGTGTGGATGTCGCCAATTACAGCGCCCCCCTGAGCCTCTTTCCATTGGCCACAACCAGCCAGCGTCTTTCTCGTCACATGTGCTGCTTTCTACACACACACACACACGAGTCATTTGCAACCTTCCCTACCCACCGCGGTGCCACATGCAGAAGGATCTGGCCCGCCAGCCCCACTGCCCGCCAGCCCCCCTGCCCAAGCCCCAGCCCCGCGGCTCACTCGTTGCTGCCTCCAGCCTGCCCCTCAGCACCGCCACCTCCTCCCCATGCCGCCGCTGCAGCAACGCAACGTCCTCCAAACACTGACTTCGGAGCTCTTCAAGGCACTGCTGCGCGGTGGACAGTTGCTCGGCCAGCTGGATCCGGTACGACTCGTACGATTCGGTGGCCACCTTGGGGGGTGTAGGCGGATGATGCGTGGCAAAGATGTGTCTGTCATGGGGTATGGGGTATGGCTTATGGGTGCGTATCACTGCGTCGGTTAACTCGGGTTTCGACAACACGGCAGCCGCCAAGAGAAAGGCAGGCGAGGGATGGGCGGGAGGGCGGGCGGGCAGCACAGTTTCAGACATGGGGGGCGTACTGGGCTGGAGCTACGGGTCAGAGGGTAGCCGTCGGCATCCGCCCCAAGAAGGTTCCCAGCGTCACTGGCTGCAAGTGATGTTCCCACCTCACAACTGGCCTTCAGGCATTATTAAGGTCATCTCTCCGTCCCTCAAGTCATTAAGCCCACTGCCATTGCTGCCACGCACGCGATGCATCGGATGGCTGCTCCATCCGTTCATCCATGCTCGCAACAAGCCATCCGTCCACGCAGCAGCACCTCCTCCCGTCTAACCCATTCCAGGCACCTACCCTCAGCTTGCTCTCCACGTCAGCGTGCTGTTGCTGTAGTTGCCGTACAGTAGCATCATGCTCCCGAGCCCGCGCTTCCAGCTCCAGCTCCAAAGCGCGCAATGCCAGATCTCGATCTCGGAGGTCGCGCCGGACTACCTGGCGGAAAAGGAGAACCGCGGAAAACCGCTGTTGAATCTAAAGGCGAACAGCCCGAGCGAAGGTCCCGGGTCAAGGGACTTGAGGGAGTGTTTGCATGTCGTAAGATTAGGAGCATTGAGTCCAGATATGGACCCAAGCCGCGCGGGGCTAGGGGAGAGGTGGAAAACGGAAATTCACTTGTTAGCAGCCTGGTTAGAAAGCCCGGGCCACGGTCATGCAGCAGAGCTCACCTCTGTTTGCTGCAGCGCCTGCGCCTCCCGGGCCGCCGCCTGCTGCAGCTCCTGCTGCCGCTGCTCCGCCAGACGCGTAGCTGCGGTTGCGGCCTGGAGGCAGGTGACGATTTTGGGCATGCGTGGTGGGCTGCTACAGCGGAAATCGACCTACTGGTGACAGCCATTTCCCCCCTTGCTGTGGCCCCGGGAGCCCTGTATCACCATCCTAACCCAGCCCGTCCTCGGCCACTCGCCTGTTTGAGCTCCTCCACCTCCGCCAGCAGCCCCGTTTGGGCCTCCTGCAGCTGCTTCTGGAACGCCGAGCTCAGGGTTGCCCGTTGCCGCTCCGCCTGCTCTCGAGCCTCCTCCAACTCGCGCTGCAGGGGCCGGATTGGATAGAATTTAGGCGGTATAAGCAAAGCAGCGTCGGTACTGGTGGTGATAAGAGGTGGGTAGTAACCATAGCAGGCAGGGAGGAAGCACGCAGGCCAAAATAGTGCCATGGGCAAGGGCCATTGGGGCGGGCGGGGACAGCAGAGCGGCGCATCTACATCCATTCCCTCGGCATCCGATCCCGGCATGCCAACCGCACGTCGCTAGCACGTGACAGTACAGCGTTGGCTCATTACTGTCCAGGCACAGCACACTGCAGTTGTATTGCGTGTGGGGCCTTTCTGATGCATGTGGGTCGATGTGGCTCGCATGTGGGTACAAGGGTACTCCTGTGACTTAATCGTCCGGGTGACGGCGCCCCAGAAGGTGTGCGTCCAAGACTAGGTTCGACCAGGTCAGGCCCAATACCTGGCCCGGAGCGCAACACCTGCAGCTTCCAGACAGGACCGGACCGGCACACGCACTACAACGCCCCGCCCGGCACAAAGCACCGACCTGCAGGGCCCTGCGCGCCACCTCCGTCTGCTCCCGCTGCCGCATGAGCGCCTCCACCCGCCCCAGCCGCTCCTCCTCCAGCAGCTGGGCCAGCTCCGCCCGCTTGGCTGCCAACACAAAGCCCTGCTGCTCGGCAGCCGCACGGGCGGACAGCAGTTCTGCACAAGCAGAAGCGGGGGAGGAAAAGGAAATGTGACACGACAGCACCACGGCTCTACTTCTGACGGAACGAGGTGTGACGGCCTGGTGGTTGTCATGCTTAGCCCCAAACCTGAACACGCGGAGACCGCGTGCAAAGGGCCCGAACGCCGTAAACGCGGCGCCCTAAACAGAGTTTGTTCGTCCCTGGCCCACAGGCCCCACCAGTCTGCAGCTCAGTCACGACTTGCTCCAGCTCCAAAACCCTGCCACGCAATGCTGCGTCTTGCGCCTTGTTCCGCGCGGACGCCTCATCGTATGCTGCCAGCTCCTCATCGCGCTGTCGGAGCAGGTCCAGATTATAAAGGAAGTCCGCCCTAAGGGCCTCGAACTGGTGTCACCGGGTGCGTGTACGTTTTGAGGGATTCGAGAGGAAAGAAACAGGATGAAACGACGAGCCGTTACGGGGTGGGAAATGCGGACTGCGATGGATGTGCCGTTTGTGGTACGCTGTATGTACTTGGATTGACGGGTGGGCAGGCGGACTCAGAACGAAGAGGCTGGTGCATGTCAGGCCATGTCACGCCGCGCACCATTCTGCAACCCAGTATTGCAGCACGCTCATCGGATGCACTCCACCCATACTGTTAATCTGTAGTTGCTTGTAAGATGCAGCAAGATTTCGGACTTGGCAGAGGCTGTGCCTATCGAGGAGGAGCGTTGCGTGTGGGTCCATTCGACTGCACGTTGACAGCAAGCTGTCTGTATATCTATGTACTGCAGATTGGGGTGGATTGGCGAAACATGTCGTGCCCATGGTGAGCGCACCTGTTGGGTAAGGGTGCTGAGGTCCTGCTCCCGAGCAGCGACCTGTGTATGGGGTTCGGGGGAACTGCTGGTGCTGCGCACCCAAGAACTTGCAGAGCCTGGAATTGGCGGCCAAACCTGTTGGTCCAAGGATAGTAAGGTCTTACTCCGGAGCTCAGCCAGCTCCCTCTCTCGTTGCTGGAGTTGCTCCAGGCTGTCGGCCATTGCCGAGTCAAACTAGTCGATGCCGTTAGCTCTCGTGAACCGTTAATCATTTATCCATTTAAAATTATATTTAATAATAGCTAATATATATAGTCATCTAGGACACGGGTAGTGCGTGCCGCAAGCCGTGGACGACAGCGTCGTTAAGAGCGCCAAACCCTCAGGGCATTTGCGCCATAAATTCAGCTTTCCCATATCACAGTAAAGCCCTATAGAAAGCGTCAATCTGAAACCCAGCATAGAATAATCTGAGAAGTCAACGGTCGTACGGCGAAGAAAAAGAAACGCCTTCAGTAATACACACAAAGCAAATGATCCGTTGGAAAGGCCATGAAGGATTGACCTGTTTGGATCCTTTTACCCGCGCCTCATTTCGGACTCTCTCTAGCAGCTAAGGGTTAAGGGAGCATCCTCCGGGTTGCTAGATATTGCTTAATTTGATCAGCCATGGTACTTCTTCATATGAAGGTAAAATGACGCGACTAGGGAACGGACCTCGTCGATGCATTCCTTGCTTCTCGAAGCTTATCGTGCATCCCTGTACCCTCTGGGCAGCGTTCGGACCTGGACCAATTTCTATACGAGACCACTATAAACGCGACCGTCGACGAAACAACTCGACAGCTTGCGGAAGTAAACAATCTGCGGCACCGCATCGAGCGGCTAAAGGCGGAAGGCGAGGAGCTTGCAAAGTATGGGCCTGCAAAGCGGCCTGACCAGCAGGGTATTGATCAGTACCAAGAAACATCGGTGGAGAAAGGGCCCCACTACACAATGGACCCCACGGGCCGGCGGACCGGCAACGGTGAGGCACGCGGGCCGCGTTCCGGGGAGCGCTAACCGAAGTTGCCTCGTAAACGAACATTACACAGGGTTAGGGGCCCAAATACATGAATGCATCCTGCAGCTTGCGCGGACGCTCTGCCGGTGGACACCCGGCGGCCCGTTGGCGCTGGGAGCCCATATCAACCAGGAAGCCTGGGAACCCCCAGGCAACCCATGCTGCCTTCCTAACCCGCCGGCGGAGTTGTTAGAGGGTCAGCTGACACCGTTTTTATACCTTTCTCACCTTCCGCTCGATGCAGCTTGCGACCCCGAGGTCGCCAAGGTGTTGATCAAGACGTTGGAGGAGGCCGTGGCTGTAGCACACAAGGTGAGAAAGAGGATCGGAGCAATCCGTGTCGCACAATGCTCCCGGCTTAGGCACGTTCTGGCTGGGCCGCGTCTGTTGTTCTGATGTGCTTTCGGGACAAGTGCGGTCTCGTGCACTTCACAGGGTAGCCGAGTTTTACTGTGTTACCCGGAGAGCGCTGTGTGAGGCGGGCTTGGGCCGCGAGCCAGACGTCGGCACCTGGGATTATTTACATGGGCTCTGCCTTCTCGGGACGGACGGATATTGGGCTCCTGTAGGAAGCAGGGTGGTGGTGTTCTTTGCACTGCAGAGCGCAACCGCCGGGTAAGGATGCACGGAGTAGAGGCTCACGTGGGCTCCTAGCACAGCCTCTGGATGGGCCCCTCGCCGCCCTTATTGCTGGTTCACGAGTAAGACCCGGACCTAGGGAGCCCTGGATAGCCACTAACAGTTCGCTGCAGGACGAGTTTAGGTCCTGGCCAGTTTTTTGTCACACCAGTTCTTGTCTTCACCTTCACTTTCCCCATGTGTGTTGCAGGACCAGGTCAGCAAGAAGGTGCCGCTGACGGCGCGGACGCTGCAGGAAGCGATTGACAACGTGCGCGGTGCCGTAATGATTTGCTACCCTATGGGTCTTCCCGAGTGGGACCTAGTACGGCAGGGGATCGAAGGCAAGGAAGATCTGGCGGGAACATCGGTGAGCAAGGCGGCACCGCGCCACTTGTATACCCCGGGGCATAGTTGTAACTTGTGAGGGTATTTTATTATGCGTGGTTGGCTGGGTGTGGAGCTGTTGTTGTCGTGCATGACGTACACGTGGCGGAGGGCATTACAACGGGAGTATATTCAGATGGGATCGCTAGGTACCTCTATGCATGTATCCTGTAGAGTGTTTCCCCTAAGGGGAACCGAAGGTGGAGAGAGGGCAAGATAGCTTTATCGTACCGCGCCGTGTGGAGCTCCGAAAGGTTTATGGACCCTTTACACAAGGGAACGATCAGCAGCACGTGGCGCAGCGTGTTGTCCATCCGTCTGGGCAATCCCTTCCCCGCGCGCCCTATCTTTGCGTCACGTCCGCCATTCCCGTCCTCATTCTCATGCGCACCCGCAGTATGCCGCGGACGACATCCCGCTCGACCTGGCGACGCTGTGGTTCGCGGGCAAGCAGATGCTGCCGGAGAAGAAGCTGAGCGATTACCTGGGGCGCCACGAGAAGACGAAGGCGGTGGTAAAGCTGCAGAAGAAAGGGCAGGGGGCGCCAGCACGGGAGCCGGTGAGTATGACTGGCGGAGGCGGAGAGCGGGTGGGATGCGAGCCTGGGCCGGAGATAGAGGTGCACGGGCGCATTTACCCGGGGGACGCTGATTTGGGTCGGAACCTGGTGTTGGTCTGGAGGGGTGGGGGCTCGAAGCCGACCTGGATCGGCGGCTAATGTTGATGCAAGGGGGAGGATTCTGCTTGGGGCCGTTCTCGCGATGCACTATGGCGGGAACCCTAGTATGTACGATGCGGTAGTATTTACGATGCGGTGCACCTCCCATTACCTTGCCAGGTTGTGGATCAAGATACTCAAAAGGCCATGATGGCCTGGTACTACAAGAAGCAGGAGGAGCAGAAGGTGCGGTATCTGGTGTGCGGTACGTGGCCGCGGGGAAGTGAAAGGATGGGGCTGAGGGACTAGAAATCGCCGACTTCGCACACCGATGATGGCAGCGGGCACTGAGTGCCTGGGGTCTAGCATGCCTGGGAAAAACCATGACATGGCTCATGGCCACCAGAATGGGGGGTTAGGTAATTTGTAATTTGCAGCGATTAAACGCTGCAGTCAATTCAACATTTGGCGGTTCTTAAGGGAGCTCGTTTGGTTCTCGTTGGGCGGAGCCGTATGGATCTTGCGGTTGGGCGGTTGGGTCCTTTGGAGGTGTGGGGGCGTAATCGGGTCTTTAGCGCCCCTGAGGTGCAACGCTGGAGCAACAACGCAGCAGCACCAACAGCTAAGGTGCCGTATGTATGGCGCAACGACCGCCTCCCAGAGCCCCCTCGCGCCTCGCAGACTTAAGCAGGCTAAAGCAGGTTTCTCCTATACTTGCCCTGCCAACGTAACCCCAGCATGCTCCCCTTTCTGGCCCCACATTGTTTTTTGACACGGCCACAGAAGCTGGTGGAAGACGACGACGACTCGTACACCAGCTCCTCCTGGGCCAACCCAAATTCACTGAGGGCGCACTTTGCTGGAGTGCAGGCGGTGCGGCTACCCAAGTAACAGACAAGTTCAGATACGGGCTGAACTAATATGACAGATGACACGGGTTGGGGGACTTTTGGGTCTCCGCCCTCATTTAGTAATGGTTGTGGGTTCTGAGCCTCCCCTTTGGGTTCGGTTTTGGCTGTCTAGGTCACTTGCGTTGTCTGGTCTGGGTGGGAGTCTTGTTTGCCCTGCTGGTCTCAGGCACAGTAATATGCACGGCCAGCTGGCCCTCTGGATCTACTCTTCTCGTGAGTCTGGAGCCCACTGTAACAGCCACACGCACGGGTTGTGTTCCGTGGGGTTGGAGCTGCTGGGGGGGGGTAGGTGCGTTTCTTGTCACGACAGGGCGTTTTAGGAGGCGTTCTTCGCCGTCCTAGGCTGCCGGGCGGGAGTAGATTGTGGGTCGCAGGAGGCCGGAAGGCGGATTCCATCGTATTGCTGCAGCGTTGGCGCCGGGTGAAGTGGAGGCCAAGGCGTAGCTCTGCTGGGATAACCTCTCCTCGATAGGCCCTGTAGCGGTGGCCGTTCCAAAGGGAGAAATTGGGCATCTAATAGGGTGTGGGTGGGGTGCGATGAAGGACTCACCATCTTACAGGTGGGCGGGGTCAAGGGTTCCACCGGCACAGCAGCTCGGAGGACGCACGCAGTGTGGAGTCGGCAAAGGGGCCTGGGGTGGTGTGGCAGCGGAAGGCACGTGGGGTGATGTCGAGCGGGCTTTAAAATGCGGATCGAGTATTTGGCTGTGCTACTCGTCGTCGTAATGCCTGCGGCGCCCCAGGCACTATCATGGCTTCCTCGGTAGTAGGTCGTGCAGGAGCTGCGAGGAAGGTCGAAATCCTTCGCCCGCTCTGGCTGTTTGCCCACAAGACGTGGTGGTATGTGCAGTATGTGCGGCCCTCACTTGTCCAACGTGCGCGCTGGCGTGCGGAATATCACGTTTTTACACTGTCCATGCCAACATGACGCACGAACTACCCTGGTAACGTAGATGTGCGGTTTAGGGCCAGCCCCGAAACGCTTTCAAGGCAAATGCGGTACGCCATACTAGGCCATGCACACGGGGCAGCTTGGACAGACACCTTGAGAAATACTTGACGACTTAAACAGCTCGTCCCTGAAGGGCCAAACAACCGTCCACCGCGTTGCCTGGGAGCAGGTAAGGCGCTAACCTTACCGGACCGCCAGGTCACAATCACACAGCGGCAGAGGTTCTGCGGCGCACGTCCTTTGGCACAGCTGCCAGGGCCAGCTGCAAGCGCTCGCTTCCAACATCTGAAGGCATGGCGTGGGGTCTTCGTGTAACCTGTAGCTGAGCTTGCAACTGCGAACCCTGACACAAAGGGCCGTCTATGCATACCGCATGACGTAACATTACCGCGGAGCCCCTCGGCCGTCCCGGGCGTCTATCAACTCAGGAGTATCGTTACGTCAAGCTGAGACACGATCCTTCCTCCAGGTCGTCGTATTGCGTATGTACCTGGGACAAGGAAAGCGACCAGGGTGCAATTACGTGCCTATTTGCGGCAACGCAAGCCTCTTAAGAGGCTGATCTGGCATATTGATCGCGGTTGTACATGGCGAGTCGGATGCAGTTCGCATGTATTCTCATCCTGCCCTGCTCTGGCTCCGTCGCAAAGAAAACTTCCTATGGTTGAACCCCGTTATTCTGCCTCCCGATGCCGCTTTACCGTAATAATGTGCTAGCTAAGGCTATATCGCAGGTGAAGTTAGTTAGCTTAGCCATGTAAGGCCCACAATATTATGCGGTTGCTGCCCGTTCGGGCGCTTTGCACACGATCCGTTCGGGCTCCACTGTAACTGCTGCTGCTGCTGCTCATGGTCGTGCTCGCCTTGACGAATGGGCCGAGCGCCAGACGGACGGACGACGGTTGCGCAGTTGAAACGTAACCCACACCTGGCGAAGCGTCTGGCCTTGAGATCTGCCGTGGGGGTGTTACGCGGTGTTGGTTGCATGACGCTGCGTTGGCCCATTGTTGATCAATGATGAACCGTAGGTCATATTCGATTTCTCACACTGCGCGCTGCACATTCCCTCCTTCAAATAACTAATCCTAGCACCCGCAGGTAGTAACCTTGGCCGCCAGGCCTTCTGCAACGGCCGCGGCGTTTTCTAACGGTCCGACCAAGGCGGCCGCCAGGGCACGTGTGTGGGGCCTCTGCTGGTGGGCAGTTGCGCAGCGGAACAGACCAGCATGACGAGGCTTCAGTTACCGGCTCTTACCACGAGGGCGAGGTACTGTGGATTTAGGCGTTATGTTTTTTTTGCGTGTGTCCGCAAATCGGCGAGATCATACATCCAGAGCTGGGCGTTTCAACGCCGCTGTGATTGACGCTTTGGAAAATTGTAATAACAATAGCATTAGCAATAGCCCAGTGGGGCCTCGGAGACCCCAGCTTTTCCCAACCCTCTGCTCGCAACGTACTGCACACAAACGGACACGCACGTGGGTGATGCGCTGCGCTGCGGGGCTGGCCACACGGTGGTTACTGTGGTGTGCTCGCGGAACATACACGGATATACACAGAGAGTGTCCCTTACACCAGGTTTGAAGTAAATATTTCCGCGCACATTGCAACGAATGTCGAAGAAAACTGTTTTTTTTGTTTCGCTGGAGGCTGTTCAGTTGCGCAAGTTGGATACGATCTGCTGTCGCCGTTGGCGTTTGTTCAGTTGCATGTAGTGAGAAACGATCTATCCGGAACCTATCGAGAGCGCATCGGCTATGCTCTCCAAAAGTCTAACACGGACAGCGTGCACATCTGAGATTATGAAGTTGGGGAACGTCACGAAACGAATTGTTTTCATTATCGGCTGCCGGCAAGGCAGCGTACTGTTTCCGCGAAAACCATTAGAAGACATCACCACTGGCCCGAAGGTGCACAGATTTAGCCTGAATTGGCAAGATGCAAATTTGTCGAGGTTTGTCTAAAAAACTTGATATGTAGTTCTTCAGCAGGCTGTACGAGCCGCTGGCCCAGGGCGACAAACCACATCTGGTAAAGCTTCAATTTCAAAGCTACGTGGATGCTGCAACCCCGCCTAACTTCGGCATGCACAGGTGTACGCAATCCCAGCAAGGAGGCCGTTACCGGCAAACGGACCACCCTCTCGCCAACTCCCATTTTACAGCTGCGTTGCATGAATAATTTGTAACTTCAGCAAACAGTATTCATGTCTTACTAAGAGGAGACTTTGTCCCTCATCTATGCCGCCCAGCACTAACCGCCTCCCACCACGTAAAGCGATTTTGACGTGGCACGTCGAAGATGAAGAGACGGCATTTATGGCTGAGTGTTCCCGTGGCCACTGGACTTGCAACCTGGTAATACTGTTAGGGTTATATTTGCGTTTCTTTGCCCATCCGCTATCGGGGGAAACAAAAGCGTATAAAAGATTCCGTACCCTCGTTCATTGAGGACACACCATAGTTAGTACTGCTGATAGAGGGTAAGTTGGCGTCCTGATCTTGTTTGCTGTATCAATGGAGGTAAAGTAGTGCTGTGAGCCACGTGCCATGTATGCCTAATCATAGTTTAAAGGCACGTGCCATAAACCCCTCGAATTTTACCATCCTTCATCCATATACAGCAAAAGAATAAGAGCCTACATAGCCGTGTTCTTGACGCAAGAGTTGGTTTCTGTCGACAAGCGCTCAACTTTGCGCTGTACGGAAAGCGATCGTCCTATTGCATCCCACGTCACAACCTCCTTTTTCAACTTCATAGAACACATTATTCAACTGTTACTTCATTTTGGTTATATATTCAGGACACAATACCCAAACATCTTGGAGCTCTCTGGAAGCCGTTGCAAAATCTCTGTCTGAGACCCGATGGCCACTGTGGCGTCAGTCGCCTTACCTCCCCCAGTTGGCCTCGCGCAGCGGTGCGATGCAAGCAGTGACTTGGATAGAGATGAATGTTGGATCTGTCTCTCCAGTGCGGGGTCGCTGTCCCGGGTCTGCGACTGCCCAAGGGTCTCTCATCGCGAGTGCCTTGCACGGTGGCAACTCACTAACTATGGTCGCAGGTAAGAGTTACAGCTACAGTGCTCCCGATGCTAAGTTACTAAGATAACTGCACTTGCTACCGTAACTTTGTTGGTGACATGGCTCATGGCGCGAAGACCTCAAAAAGCGTCTGCGGGCCATTGGCCTTTTGGGTCATCTGCAGTCGTATAAGTGCACTATACTAATGAAGTAATTTTGAAGCATGCCGCCTGCCGGTCTTGCAGAGAGGAAAACTTCTGCCGCTTCTGCAGCAAGCGTCTCCCAGCGCTTTGGAAGCCAGATGCGATGAACGAGGGTGAGAAGGAGGAGCTTCGGGTGGCGCCTGTGATGGCCGTGCGGTGAGTAGGAAGCCGTCAACGGCCGAGTCAGTTCGCTGTGAATGGGCACGGCAATATCTAGTTATTCTTGCAATAACCATAGTTACGCTTTATCGTCTTCTAAAGTTAAGCGCGCTCACTCCTGCCGGATTTCCCTAAGTGTGCAACCGTCGCGACGCGTCGCCTTTTAGTCGCTTCTCCTGAACTTGGGCAATAATTGTACGCTTTCGTTCCTCCTTGTTTCAAGCGCATTCAATAGTTTTGGCATCACGTTTACAGCATGCGTAAACTTAAGGAGTCTCAAAGTCTCGGACTCGACCGCACACGCAGCTTATCGTCCAGATCCAGGTATCGCATTACGCACGGATGCGGTGTTGTAATAAATTGTATTGTTGTTGATTATTCTATGTATGCGTCCCTTTTAGATACAACGGTCCTGAGGGCACGCGCGAATTCAAGCTACGAGTTCATCCGGGGCCGGAAGGGCTGGCCACGTTCAAAGCACACCTGAAAGAGATCCTCGGTTTCGACGTGGGGCCCGAATTCGATGTCACATTTGAGTAAGTGACCACTGCTTGTATGTGCGTTGCGATTGCATTAGTAACCGAAACGGAGACCGAAAGGCCCCGCTCGGTCAGGTAGTGACCGGAAGTCGGGTTTTCCCAGTAGCAATCTTAGCCATGTGGCTCCTGGGAATAGCAATCCACTTATCGCGGAGCGGATGTAGTAATGGCCGCGTGGCTGTGCGTTCGATTCTGTGTCCGTTTGCGCATTTGCTTTACTTCCGGAATAGTTCTCCTTCACATACTTTACTCCTCCTTGTGTACAACCCTTGACAAAGCGCAACCTTTGACGGACATTTTTATGACATGCAATCCTACCACGATCTTCTTCCTGATCCGCTCCCCTTTCCCGCTCTTCCGTTTGAATAAATTCTCCCGCCATTCATAACTTTGGCCTGTCGCTTTTTGAATTCTTTCAACTGTCGCCTGTTCAACTATTTGACCATAAACTGCACACCAACGCTGCTGATAAAGATGCCGCGAACCCCAGCTCCCATCCGATTGCGATGTGCTACTTCGCAGGTGCCAAATGCCCTCCACGGGTTCATTCCTGACGTTGTCGGGAATGAATGCCTACGGTGCAGCCACACATTGTGCCGCGTTGCTTGCCGCCACGAAGACGGGCAGCACGCAAACGCCGACGACGGCGGCGACAGCCGCTGAATCTTCGGCGACAATGCAACAACAGCATCGAGGATGTACCGCGCAACTGCAGCAGCAGCAAGAGCAACATCGACAGCAACTAATGCAACAGCGGCCAGACGGCCCGGCACTACTACTCCCCTCAGAGGTACCGACAACCGCACGGACGAGGTCAACTGGGGTTTTGCCACCGACAACAGCAGCAGCAGCAACACCAACAGACATCCCCCTGACACATTGCAGCCGGCGGGCATGCCAGACTGGATACCTGCCGCATACTACTACACCACGGAATGCCGTAGAACAGTTGAGCCCGGCGAGCTCCTACCTGAGCAGCATGCCGCCGTGCATGGTGGCTAACTTCCCCAACCGCCGTACTGTGTCGCGCTCTATGTCTACTCGCCGGGGTTCTGATACCCTTGGGGTAATCCCACGCGCGTCCTCTGAAGCGGCTCTGTCTGTGCTGCAGTATGACTCGTACGACGATCTTCTCCCGCTTGGGCCCTACACAGAAGCCCTGGCGCCGCCAGAGGCTTCTCTGGGGGTCTACGACAGGGTTCACTTGTACGGCAACAGCAGCGGTAGTGGTGGCGGTGGCGGCCGCAGGGGCCACTTCACCGCTGCTGGCCTCGGCCGTCAGCATCCGGAGGCAGCGATTGTGGATGCAGATGCGGAGTGGTGCGGTCGCGGCCGGCCGGCAACGGCAAGGGGTTACAGTGCGATTGGTCGTTTCTGCTCCCGGGTGAGAGAGTAGGGGGCTACTTAGGTGAGGTGAAGTGAGGTGGGGTGAAGTGAGGTGAAGTGAGGTGAGGTGAAGTGAGGTGAAGTGAGATGGGGTGAAGTGAGGTGAAGTGAGGTGGGGTGAAGTGAGGTGAAGTGAGGTGGGGTGGGGTGGGGTGGGGGGTCCACGAACTTGACGAGTGGAGTGCGGAGTGTACGCAGCTGAGTGGGCCCTCAGGTTTCGTGGTCGACACGACGCCGACCTGAATGCGCGATGTTTCAACTTTTGAGGAGCCGACCAACTGCCTCTGGATGCCAATGTCCAACTTAGCGCGCTGGCTGTGTGGGCCTGTGGCCCCTTGACCGCTCCCCTTTTTGCAGGTCGCCCCGGTTGCGACGTTGGGGGTCGCGTTTCTCCCCGCGGCCTCTTCTGATGCCGCCGTCGCCGCCGCTGCAGCAGCGACGTCACCGCTGCAGGCCACGTCAGAGCGTTCCGCGGCTGCCGTACTCAGTAGCGCGCGAAGCGGTCCGACAGCACGTGACATCCCCCGGGAACCGGCGGCGTCAACTGCCGCTGCCGCCGGCGCCAATGTGCCTGCCGGTGCAGTGTACGACGACAGCCGTACCTGTAGCATTACAGACAATGTCAGCAGCGCCGACAGCGATGGCGGCAGCCACGCAGCGGACTTTATAAAGGAGTCTTTGCCACTAGGAACGTCGCCTATGAGCCATCCTAGCGGCGGAAGCGACTCTGGGATTAGGAAGGCCCAGAAGTGCCGTACCGCGCGACGGCAGCCGCGAGAATCTGGGAAGGTGCCGAACGACGGCGATCCCACCGCCACGCCGACGAGGACGCCGACGGCTGGGGCGGATGTCCTTGCTGAGTCACGTGGCCGTATGCGACTTCCCGTCCTCGTCAAGCGAGCTGCTCGGCACGCCGTGGACTCCCTTTCGCGGATCCTGATGCGCCGAGGTTGAAGAATGAAGTAGACGTGTGCAGTGTCGGCGGATGGCGAATGGCTGCGATGGCGGGATGCGGAGGCGAGGTCGGTGCAGCAGCAGCGGACATTCATCTTCATCACTGTGAGAGAGACACTTTCGAAAATGGAATGGATGGTGTTGTCTGGGTGTCTGGGTGGCGTTTCAGGGATGGGCGGGGTGTTCATGGCCGGGTTGGCAGGTTGCGGAATTGATCAATAAGTTAGGAGGAGGAAGTGGATATATGGATATGTTGTGAATGATTATGGATATCGGAGGTGCTGGTTTGGAAATCGGTGCAGTTTGCGACTGCCGACCGCGGCGGTTGATAGGCGATTGGAATTGTGCAAGGAGGAAGGAAGGAAGGAACGAAGGTGGAACGCATGATGATGATTTTCCTGGTTTTTTCTCGTGTTTTGATGATGGTTGGGCCGTCCTGCACAAGGACTATTGTATTCTTTGCATATGGCTGTCTGAGAGGATGTTGTTGGGCTTGTTGGGCCCCACCGGGCGTCACCTTTGATTACTAGGTTTTCGAATTGCAGCGAGGGTACCGTTGAATTTTTTACCAGGGCCTACTGCAGCGGCAAACGTTCTGTAGGCAGCAGCAGCGGTGTTGAAGACCTGATGGCCAAGATTTGGTCCCGGTGGCGGTTTTCGGTTTCAGGTTTTGGTTGTAATGGAGGTCTTGGTTGGATTTGTGGGAAGTGGTGGTGGTCAGGTACAAGGTCTCGTTGTCACATCATTTAGCATCTCGTCCAAACCCTAAGAATCCGTACGCACTCCGTACTTTGTCGAGGCTTCAGTTGTACGACGCGACATTGTAGTGCGAGGGACGCGGCCTCCTCTGCGAGCGAAAGATTAGAGAGTCATTTTTACGTCATCTGTGCGATGATGAACGCTCATAGCAAGATTTCTTGGGGCCAAATTTCCTGACATAAGAGTGCGTACGACGTGCCGTACAATGTCTCCAAGATTTGGTTCTGAGTGCCTCCGTGTTGTGGATTAATTCTCGATGGTCAACTGAAACTGCGGCACAAAAGTATTGTGAACGGTTGTATTTCAAATAAATTGATGTATACGGTGCTTTATGTTGTTTAAGATCGCCGCACGTGAAATTGCGCCTTTCGTGTTGGCTTTCGTTTTATGTTGGTGTTATTTTACTTTCGTTCTGCGAGCCAGCTAAAAACTTCCTGGCAGCTCGCAGGGTTCCATTTTTCGCCTTGTGGTCCTTGGCGCCCTGCGGATTGGCGGGTGGCTGACAGGGCATGGGGCTTCTTGGGGATGTCCGGATGACCGCGGGCGCCGATCACCGACAGTTTTAGGTTGTTGATCGTTTTTCGAGTCCTGCATACCTAATCCGCTCCGCCGCTCCAATTCGCGTGAAGCCGTTTTTGCGGCAAATCAGAGCTCTGCGTTCCGGGGGGTAGGCCAAGTCCCACGGTACGGCAAGCAGGGCAGGGGCAGTTGCGTAGACTTGCGTGATGTTCCATCTCGTCCCACATGAGATTTGACCTCTGAGCTCAGATTGTGTCCCGCCATTAAAAAGAAGCAACCTAGCAGCACGTGGAGGGTAATCAGAGAGAGAAGAGTAAAAATGTGTTTAAGTGCCTTAAAATGTACGAAAAAGCGAATGTGGACAAGAGAGTTGTTAAATTTTAAATCTTTGAGATGACGCGCGTTTCCAGCGCGCTGTTTGAATAAGTTGCAAACAACTTTCGAGTGGTGTTAATCGGTCCCGTAGGTCTTATCCGGCTGGTCCGCAGGACTTTTGTTGAAGGATGTACGACATTGAGGATGCATGTCAAGGATGTGCCATAAGGGTCAAGTCGAGCTAGGGTGTAGTGTGCGGCAGCAGAGGACCATGTCCTCAGGTTTTTGTGGAGCGGGCGCAGGTGCGGTATGGTACGGTTTAGCGAGTTACAAGGTGCGGTATAGCAAGTACTGTCAACCACCGATTGCATTAAATATGCGCACTGAACCACAGCCTCAGGCGAAGCGGACATTTCGTTGCCTACTTCTCCTTGGCTGGCTGCATGGCGGTGGGTTTGGCCGTGGTCTTTGTTGCATGTTGTCATTTTAAACTTCATCACCCACTCACCACGGCCACGCTGTTCCATGCGCTCAATGTTATTCCAATAACGGCCACCTCCAATAACAGCATGGACAAATCTGCGGCGTTTTTTTATTCCACCTGTAAAGATATTCGTGTGCACCTCCCATGCGGCTCGTGGAGGCTCATGTTTCGGATACATGTGTTGTTGGCCCGTCTGCGCATGCAGAGAAAGTGCGTCCATGAGAATGGCCCCGAGGAATATCTCGCCTTCCTGTGCCCCGGCTTTTACATCCGCAGTAAAGGATTTGACTTTACTCTGATATTTTGCTGTGTAGAACATGCAAATGCAGAAGCATAGCACAACAGCGTCCTTAAACTGTACTGCCCTCGCCGCAACGGCTGGTGGGATTGTTTATGCTGCTGGGATGGTTTCATGTTCCCCGCTAATTGCCTAATCGCGACGACTTTGAGAAATAGAGGATAATTATGCGCTATATGTGGGTTTTGGTGCCCGAGCGATAGATTGGTCGGACGACGGGACATAACAAAAAATGTGCAAACAACAAGCAAATCGCACCTGTGTGTGTTTCTTGCCATGTGGTCTATCATGAAGTGGACCAGCGGCGTCAGAGTACATATAGTTCTGAAAGGCGTGTAGCAGTGCCAAGGGGCACACAAGGCAAAAGTTTGTGCTCTACCACGAAGAACGCGAAAAAGAGAGAGGGAAGCGGGTTTTATTTGTAGGATTTATTATGCACGAGCCGGCTTTCTTCTCCAATCTCCTGCACACATATGAGCCTTGGAGGTCGTGAGCGGAGTCACCTGTGCTTTAAGACGACTGGAGTCGATGGATTACCTGTCAACTCCGATGCAGCAATGAAAGTGCGCGCGCGCATATGTTCTCCGCTTTTCTGTGTCTCCGTAGATCGCTCCCTTTTGTGCGCTGTTTGTTTGTATTTTGTGCTGGAATGAAAAGGCACACTACGTTGCTGTGAAGCTTCGAGAATACCTCTCACACGACTTGATTACTCGTGTACTGATTTGCCATTTTTTTGCTCTGCTAGGTGGACTATGTGCTGCGTCCTGAGCACCCAGGAGGACGACATAAACGACCAGTCAACTTAAACACATCATGTAATGACCAGTTTCCTACCGCTCTCCTTGCTCTTCTTCTTCTTGTGCCATTTCGCGCAAAATCCATCGCTATAGCACTAGTTTTACTCAAGGAACTGGCCAAAAAAGTAGACGATACATCTCCGCGCAATGAACACAAAGCCGCAGCTCTCGAGCCACGCATCCAGCCCCTCTTATCTTCTCCCTGAACCGATCCCCCTCCGGAGCCTTTTTGCCCCAGCCCCTGGCACCTGCACCTGCGGCCACACATGCAACGGTAAATAATCAGATAATCCCCGCGAGCCGCCTGTTTTTAGCGAACCGATTGCAACGAAGCCCCTGAGACCCATATCCCATATCCTGCAATATGCTCTCAAGAGACAGGCAGCCTTCAGAATCGTCGTCAACGGAACTATGGCCCGACAGGATTGTAGAATTTTTTACAGTAGCAGCAGCTGCAAATAGCACTAGTATGAAAGCACTATAGACTGATACCAACACACGTTGCCGTACAGCTGCCGTACAGCTGCCGTACAGCTGCCTCAACCCTACTTTACATTTTCATTTTTGTCTTCAAGGGCCTGCCGCTGGTCTTCGACCCACGAGCCCTAACGCCGCATCATCGTCCTCCTCCTCCTCATCATCATCATCGACCTCGTCATTTAGGTCGTGATGATCGCCGCGGCCTACGTGGCGAATGCCGGCAATTGTACTACTCGGCCCATCTCGACCGGTGGCGGCGGCGGCGATGGCGAACCCGCCGCTGGGTCCGGCGCCATCCGGCTTGAGCACCGTGGAATCCCCCTGTCGAGCTGCTTGACCCGGCTCCGATGAGCGCGGCGCCGCTCCTCCCCCACCTCCTCTACCTGCCCCATCCCCTCCTGGACCCCCCAGTAAGGGCTGCAAGACTGTGCCCTGGCCAGATTGCAACAAGAACTGCTGCTGCGGTGGCGGAGGCGGCAACGGTTGCTGCGGCTGCAGTAGGAGAGGCGTTGGCTGGGCGCTGGCGGGAAGTGGCGCCACGCGCGTAGCTGGCTGCGTCTCCGCCATCAGGAGCTCCTGAGGGGAGGTGTTGTGTGGCGGTTAGGGAGGGGAGATCAGGGGTTTTCGCAGGAAGGCGAGGGGCGGATGGGGGTTTTGGTCGGTCAATAACCGCCAACTGCCAACCATCAGCGCAAAAAGCTGGTGATTGGCCAACCTTGTTCACTTACCTCGTCCACCTGGGTACTGCCAAGGCTCGCATACGTGCCGCCGAAGGTCGGCGTTCGCCCCAACGCCGCCGAAGCAGGCGCAGCCGTGGCCGTTGGGGCTCCGAAACCCCCCCGGGCCAGTCCCCTATCCCCCATGTCCCGGTCCACCTCGTCCAAGGGACCCGCAGGAACTTGCGCACTTCCCCCCGCGCTGCGTCCTTCGAAAGGCTGCTCCCTATCGGACTGAGCTACCCGGTGGTGGTGGTCCGCCGCCGCCGCCGCAGCAGCAGAAGTCCAGAGATGTGATGCCGGGCGAGTCCGGAGGGGCCCCACCTCGCCCTCAAGTTGTTGCTGCTGCTGCTGTTGCTGCCGTTGCTGCTGTTGCTGCTGTTGTTGTTGCTGCTGCTGCTGCTGTTGTTGTTGATGTCGCCGGTGCTCCCTGCCCTTGAGATCCTCCTCCAACACCTCAGCGTCCCCCTCCTCGTCGGTTTGCGCTGCCTCCGCTTCGGCCTGGAGGCGGGAGCCACCGGATGCATCGTTCTCAACACGGCAAGGAGGACGTGCTCCAGAACTCTCGCCCGACCAATTGCACTACAACTAACTACTAGGCTTTGCTTAGAGGCCAGCACGAAACATGAAACACAGGTCGTGGGAAAGCGGCAGCTTGCACATCCGAGTGAGATCCACCCCTAACACGAGAATCGCATGTACGGACACCCGTACTGGCACGGCGACCACATCCACTCAAGCGCAGTACAGCAAAACGCATACGCATATGCACAAACAGGCACTAGCTAATAAGGGACTTACAAGCTCCTGCTTTGCGGCCGCGAGTTGCTCCTCCAACTCCTGGATGCGAGCCCGCTGCTCTATGAGCTTGTCTTTCTTGGCATCCAGCACTCGCGCAAACTACTGCGTTTCGCGTGATGTAGTGGTGATACGACAACGTACGGCAGCGTTCGTTTAGCAATAAGCGGCCCAGAAAGGTAGGGTGGGCCAGCGGTGACGAGGGGGGGGGAGGGCCAGAAGGGCATGGTGGGAAAGTCAGGGTTGGATTATTATATCGGATTGGAGCCATTACGGCTTGCGAAAAGAATATACTGTAACGGCCGAAACAAAAAACACACCAGCACGATGCCCGACATTGCCACACACAATGCGCATGGGGGGAGAGGGGGGAGGAGGGGAGTGTTGCACCACCCCTCCTCCTTCCTAATCCCTTCCAACAATCGCGCGGCGGCCAAAACCCCACCAACACCCAACACCCACCCGCTACCACACAATAGGCGGCTCACACGCCCCCCTTCTAAACCCCACCCTTCTTTACCCCTGTCCCACCTTGACGTGTAGCTCTTGCACCAGGCTCTTGTGTCTCTCCGTGCAGTCCTGCAGCTCCCTCCGGGTGCGGCTCAGGCAGTCCGACTGGCGCTGAAGCTGGGAATCCAGCTGCCGGCAGGACACCTGTCATGTAATGGTGGACGGAGGGGGGAGAGGAGAGGGCGGGAGCCCGCCGAGGGAGGAAGGAGGGGCCGGCGGGTGAGTGCACGATGATGACGATGGTGGCGATGTTGGTGACAATGAAGGTGTTGATGATGTTGGTGACGATGGTGGTGGTGGTGGTGACGATGAATCCATGGATCGATGGAAATACCTCCAAGCCGACAGAGCGGCAAGTCCAGGTCCACCGCCGGCGATGCCGGTGGCATACAAGGAGGGTAAAAGCGCGTCGGCATCCCGCACATAAAAACAAACCGGGTAAGATCATCATCCGTAATAGTATCAGATCCGACCCAAGCATACAACCCAGGAAGGAGGGTGGAGTCAAACCAAACCCCACTGCCGACCACCTAACCAGTCTCCCCCACGCAGCCCCTCGCGCAGAGCCTCCGGGCCGGCTAACCCACGTCGCTCCAAGTCCCAAGCCACCCCCGCCCCGTGTGTCCCGTGACTCACTTTACTTTCCGCGTGTCAGCTCACCCCCACCTCGCGACCTTCCCTCAATCCCAGACCTTCAGACACATATACACACACACACCTCTCTCTTCCCCCCTCGAGGTCATTACTTCCCCCCATCCCAGCCCCCTGATCAGCAAGGTGCACCTCCAAAACCGCTGCCCCCTCCCCTTTCCCCCCTCACCATCAGTCGGTAGCAGGACTCCCACACTGTGGCCATCATGTCCTCCAGGGGCGTACTGGTACTGGTACTGGCACTGCCGCCATTGCCCCCCTCGCCACCGCCACCGCCACCGACACCTGCCCCGACCCCCAGCTCCACCCTCTTCAGCATCACCGCCTGCTGGGCCCCCGCACTCATGCCCACCTCCTTGGCGGGCCAGGTCCAGGACAGCTGTGAGCAGGTAGCGGAGGTGGTGTCGGAGGGTCACCAGGCAGTACCAATAACATGCGGTTCGCACCAAATAGGAAGGACGAGCGTTCCGCATCACACGAACCACACGCGTACTTGTTATCCCCCTTCCCCCAGGGGCCCCCGTCTAGCTCCGGCTCTCCCCCCACCCTCCCCCTGGACCCTGGACACAGCCGCGCTCACCGCTCCGGTGTCCGGGTTGAAGTTGAAACGAACGCCCTCGGGCGCCGTCTCGGTGGCCAGGGCCCGCAGCGCCAGGGGCATCCACAAGTCGGGTTTGATCCATCGGGGGGGAGCGCGGAGGTCTGACCCACATGGTGAGGGGAGAGGAGGAGGGTTATGCTTGGGTTGTGCTTGGGTTTGGAGGTTTCTTTCTCGATATGTTAGTGTGGTCTGGATGCGAATTCTGATCATCTGTGCTGGATTCGGCAGGGGACTGTGGGGAAGGGTGTGGTTGCTGCGTTGAGAAAGGGGTTTCGGGGAGAGTCCGGTCGTTGGGGTTGCAGGTTGGAGGAGGGGTGTTGTGTTTCGTGTGTGCAGTGGCGCGGCTTGCGCGTTCCTGCGCGCCGTCCGCGTGATGTTGGTTTGCCTCTTGGGAGGCAATATCGACGGCAAGTGATGATCAGGGCAGCAGAGTGTAGGCACTTTGCTTATTGTTGTGTCGGGCTGTGTCGAGAAGCCTAGGACGTGTGGTTTTGGTCGCAAGCCGCAATTGCAAGGCGGTATTAGGTATAAGAGGTGAGAGGTAACGGAGAGGTGACGTGGATATACTACCCGGGAAAATCGCGCTTGCTAGGAGCCTAGGGCCGCTTGGACTTACTTTTCCCGGCGTATGTCCTTAAGCTCCGTGCATGGAAGACGGTCACGTCAAATCCGTCGCCATCCACATCAGCCCCCGACATAACAAGGCAAAAACATTTGCCAGCCGGCGTGTCAATAGCACGGGCGTACAGTTTCTTAAGGTCTGGATCCATGTTTTCCTAAAACGACACAGCTGTCCAGCTTTAACAGGTTATCGACTTGGACTTGACCATGCCCATAATACGTGCACGAGTCAAGAACGGCAGAATCAAGTACTTTGAGCAAGTCAACGCCTTCCCTGCACTTTCCTGCCGTCGAAACGCTTACACATGAATAGGTCCTAGCGTGAAGCGCCGTACGTCGATGATTTTCAGAATCTGCGGCCGGCCCTCACGAATGCTGGTGCGATACATAAACATACATGTCCGTGGAATATTTCCGTGTTCGGCCAGCCAAGCTTAATTGACCGTTCAGCTGAAATTGTCGCCAACTGCCTGTCGTAGCGGACGAGCGGCACAGCTTGGTCCTTCCTTTCTGGCAACGACACCAGATATCATTTTCTACGCTGGCTGGCAGCTTAGGAAACCATGTCGGTCACCGAGTATGTTATACGCCTGACTATTGTCTCGGCTCACGACCTACCGAAGACGGACCGTCTGTCGGAGATTGATCCTTATATTGTTATTAACGTAAATGGACAACAGTTCAAAACTGCTGTCAAGGATAATGACGAGAACCCGGTCTGGAACGAGACCTTCTATCCACGGGTCCAAAGAGCCCCCGAAGGGTTGCTCATGGGTACTTTGGAGCTGCATCTATACGATGAAGACACGTTTTCCGATTCTTATGTCGCAAAGTACGGGTTCGACTTGGCGTCCTTGACTCCTGCCCACTTTAATGATCCCTTGACCTTCAAACTGGAGTACGTCAAGGACAAGTACAAATCTCAAGGGAAGAACCCCACCATCACCATCAAGTTCGAGGGCCTGGTGCAAAGTTTCGCCTCGCTTCGCGCGATGTTCTCCGCAATGCCAGGTTTTCTGGCGAACGACCAGGAGCACGCCTGCTACATTCCCATTCAGGAATCAGGCGGCCTGGTCTATGTTGGCATTGAGTATGAGCGCTCTGGGAGGATCGATATAAAGCTTTACGTGACACACGCCGGCGTGCGGCTGTTTCTGGATATGGTCGTTCTCTCCGGTAGACAGTACACGAAGGTGAGCGAGCCTCGCCCACCCCACCCCTTTTTTCTTGCTGATATCCACGTTGCGCCTCAGCAATAAAACGCGCTATCATCACACGTAAGCAACTCGCTGAAGCCAAGCGCAGGCATATCCGCTACGGTCCGGTTAGGAGTGCATCCCTCTCGTCGTACACAGCTTCGACAATCTACTCCGCAGCCTCTTCAATAGCTAGCTCGGCACACGCGTATCGTCTTTAAATTCTCCCTGTTCCAATAACAAAAAAATCGCTGCGCCTCCGGCAACCGTCGCGCCGGGCCGTCATCAGTAATACAGCTATGCGAACTGAATCCCAACATGTAGTGCAGGCGCAAAGTGTTATCTCACAGCCGCCGGGCCGCAATAACCTCACGCTTGCCGTCTCTCCAAGCACCCTTTCCAAACTTTGCCTTCATCCACATTCGTTCTTGTCCCGGTCCGATCTTACACTTTCCTTTCCCTCCTCCCCTGCCCGTTGCCACTGCCACTGCCACCATCTCCGGGCCCCTTTTTACCCCACCCGTCCTCCACCTGTATCTTCCGCACTCTGGGCGTCAGGAGGTCATTTTTTCGAATTACGGATCATGACTATTATTGTGATGATAACGATCATCTCCATCATATGATTCCCTGCACAACAACCCGGCTGCGTCAGGTCCGTCGGCGGCTGTACCGCGACGGCCGTGCCATCTGCCCGGGCCTGATAGCCTACGAGGAGCTCAAGCTGGACGATGTGCCCATCAACATCGACTTCAACCAGCTGGGAGTGGTGGTGTTTGACGCCCAGCCGCTGTCCTCCACCAACGCCAATGCGGTGGTCAGTGCACATGGCTGGAAGGGAGCGCTGGACTTCTCGCAGGTGGCCAAAAAGGGGTCCGAGGGGTTCCGGAATGGGACTGGGCCGGGACAGGGACAGGGACAGGGTATGGACAGGGTCCTGAGAGCTGAGGATGAAGGACAGAGATAAGGCTTTAGCTGAAGCGGCAGGAAGGGTAGACGGGATATGGCGCAGGGTAGGGCAGGGCCGGGAGGATGGCAGGGGGAATTCGTCTGTCATGGAGTTATGTAAGGAGCACCGCGTCGGAGCTAGCGGGTCGGGGTGATGGGCAAATAGGGTCACTTGCAGATGGAAGGATGTGTGGCAGGCTGGTGTGTGTGGTGGGGTGAGAGAGGGACTGTATGCAAGAGTTAAGGAGACAATTGCCGACGTCCAGAGGAGCACAACAGAGGAGAACACCGCCCGGAATTTACCGACCTTTTCTCCGCGTTGTGCCATCCTCACTAGTCATCCTCAGCGTCTCGACGCCCAGTGTAGTGTGGAAAGGTTGCCGCTGTTAAAGAAGTGTACTGAGGGGGTCGGGGGGGGGGTCGCTGAGGGGGTTTGCGGTCAGATATCTCGCGCAGATGATGACTAGGTGACGGTGGGAATGCTTAACAAGGGAAGAAAGCGAAAGTAAAGGAGAAGACGAGAGAGTGAAAAGATGAAATATGTACATATATATGTCAATGTGGGGATAAGAGGGGCGGGAAGCAGCTATGCGGGGGGTGGCCTTAGTTTTTAAAGCTCGCCACACCACACCACCCTGCCCAGCCCTGCGCTCCACGCCTTCCCTGCCGGCTCCCCTCCTCGCCCCCTTCCCGCAGGCTAGCAGGACGTTACGAGATGTGGAGTTGGATCACCACAAGCAGGTGGTTGGGGCCATAGGGGGGACACGTAGGGGCTTGGGAAGGCCAACGACAGCAATAGGGTGCAGGCCCGAGGGCAGCCAGGGGGGATTGTAGGGTATTTAGGGTTTTAGGGTTAACAGACAGGGTTGCTGATGTGTTATCGGGAACGAAATTTTGCTGACGTGCCGAGCAGGGCTGCCCACACTCGGCGGACGTACGAGAAGGGTTGTGGAGAGGTATTCCAACCCATACGATGTATCCCCACGCCATCTCCACGCTATCCTTTGCTAATGTTTTCACGAAAAGCCCCAACGCGTATATCCCTCCGCCCCATTCCATCACGCCCCGCCCTTGCTACGGGTCTCCCCCAATCTCCCCAAGGAAATCTACATGGCCGTGGACCCCAACGAGACCATGTTGCTGGTTGACTACGACAAGGACGACGCGGACATCAAGCTAGCGGTGCTGGCCAACCCCGCCACGGCGGACAGGGGCTACGACCTCACCATCCGGGGACAGAACGTCAACAAGATGTCGGAGCTGTACGTGCCACCAGTGCCCAAATTGGGGGGCCGATTCCACGTGGGTCGGGGGTGGGGCAAGGCGGGGAGGAGCCAGGGCCCGGCGGAGCCGATGCTGGTGAAGAGCTGGCACTATGGAGTTGCTTCCCTCACTCACCGTCACAAACTGCCGGAAACGGGGAGAGGTCCGGGTGTGCGCTTTGCCCGTCGCACTGGTATCTTACGTCCTTGCCTTGCCCTGTTCCTGACTAAGGAGAGGTGTTACTTCTCTGGTCCTTACTTCCCTGTTCCTTGTTCCCTCCGTGTGTATGTGTGTGTATGTATGTATGTGTGTGTTCCACCCACTGCACTTGTACTTGCATTCCCAGGTATCACGACTGTACGAGCTGGACGACTTACAGTACGGCACACGGTTCGAGGACATTGAGATCCACCGGTATCAGCTCTCCAATCCCAGGCAGTACACCATTCAGGGCCTTACGCGCATCATGGGATGATGAGGGCTATTAGATGGGCAGATGGGGAGCCATTCCACTTACCTCCTCCTCCCAACCCCTTTGGGCAACATGGCTGCCGTACAAGTACAGCCACACACATTTTGCGGTTCAGATCATTTAAACACACTTCCATACATACAAACATACAGCCCTTCATACAAACAAACGAAGAGGTACTTGCAGCCGGTATTGACGGTGGTTGGTGCTGCTGAGTTGTGAAAGAGATCCCGGAGGGCTGCTGGCGAGAGATGTGAGGCCTCAGAGGTCGGAGGGACTAACTTGGCTGCGAGGATTGGGTCTTGTCGAAATTGGGAGGAGGAGGAGGAGGAGGAGGAGCTGCAAGGGGGGCTGAGGAGGGGGGAGGATTACCAGGCTCCGGTGCAGAGACATGGTCTGGTCACGAGGGAGGGAGGGCACAGCTGCTGAGGGGATGGGCGAGGACAGGTCGCCGCGTCTCTGTCCTGCGGTTCAATCTGCAGATAGCGTGGCTTTATCACCCGCCCCTGCCTGCACGGCTTCCTTGCGCGGGCAATGGCAATGCGCACCAAATGGTGTTCCACGCGAAAGGAGGCGATAAGACTGCGTCCATGAAACGCCGCGTCCTTAAGACGCATGCTAAGTCGACATGAAAGTATTTCGCTGGAGACACGCAGACGCATATCCAGATTCTCGCACGAGACACGCCCGAAACGGAAACGCATTCGGCCTCTGCTGGAGCGGGACTCGTTGACATGCTTTGTGCTTGTGATGGAAAGGCAAGGCATGTGGATGCTGGATTACTTGCGTTTAAATTTCTGCCTTGACTATTTTAGTAAAAAAAGTTATTACTGCTCATTTTGTTGGATGCCTTCTTGGCTCCGGGATACTGGTTAGTGACCTTCAGTGGGGCCTCCAGTGCAGGCAACTTGGCCGGGGGCCCGCAGGGACACGGTTTCCCACCTTCCGGTGAATGGTGGCGCGGTGAATGCCTAATGGGCATGTCGCCAACGCTGTACTGCCCACCAGCTGTATCATACGGTGGGGATACGATAAATGTAGTCGCTGAGAGTGTGTGTGGCGTGTGTGTATGTGTGCTTATGCTCTTGGCGGAGTCCTGTGTGGAACAGTGAGGTCGCCATATGAGTGTATTATGTACGGGGGGACAGTGCTGGCCTGGGGTCCACTGCCACGGCAACAGCAATAGCAGCCATGGAGCGGCAAATCTGCTGAGCGTGCACATAATGTTAAAGCGTGGATGTGTGTGTGTGTTTGTGTGATTGTTACATATCGATCCGGGCCTGACACTGGCCACAGGGCACCTTCCCATACCCCAACGGGAACAACCGCCGAAGCATTCTCCTCGTATGTTTCCCCCTATGTGTGTTTCCGCGTGCAAAGCCACGCCATTCTGTGTGGCAGACAGCTGGGTTCAGAGCCTTGCACTCTCGAGGCGAAACCGCGGCCAAGGGGTGCACCAGGGGAAAGGAGGAAGGCGGAGGGCGGAAGCAGGGAGGGAAACCTCCCTGCCAAGCAACAAAGAGGGCACATGACTCGGATCAGGCCCGCAGCAGGGAGTGCTTGTCGGAGTCTGCCGGGTTTTGTTTGGTGCCTTACTGCGCAAGGGCTGCTCTTGCGTTGTGAAAGTTACAGCGCTAATCGGACATGGTTTACATGGACACGGCATAAAGACTGTTGAATTGACATGCGTACAGAGAAATAACTGTTGCGATTCGAGTATAGCGTCCTTTGGTGAAATGAAGGTGGCGTGATCTTCAATGGGAGTTGCCACCCGCCGTACACATGATGTGGGTGTCCTGGCCTGAATAGGAGCCGCCAGCGAGAGCTGGGTTGTGCCTTGGTTGTGCCTTGGTGTGGCTTCATGCATTTATCATCTGTTTATCTAAATCTATCTCTCTGACCAAGCTGTCTTTTCTGCGTCCTATGTATCTGTTGATCGATCGATCCGCTGGATCATCCATCGAGTCATTCCTATCCCTGTTTCTGCATTTGTGTGTATGTATGTATATCTCGCCCACAGTATCGCGCACCGTCTCAGCAGTTTTCATTCCGGTTGATACCCCGGCTGAAGCGTGCTTGGCACATGTGCTCGTAGAGTGGCGGGACGGGTGCATTGAATGCCTCGCTGACTGCCTGTTCAGGAATGGTTTAGGGTGATGCTTTCGAGCAGGTCATCATCTTGGTTCCGTGTGTTCTCTTCCTTTCGTACCCACAAAGCATTTCCCTCGAGGCATTACGTCATCATGATGAATATGATGATGAGGAGAAGGCGGCATGTGCACCTGTTTGCCGGCGATCTGTTGATGTCGGCGGATTTGTGCGATGGCTCTGACAGGCGCCGTGTCATGTACCGTGTCTGTTCTGCTACTGCTGTTCCGGTACTACCGCTGGAGCTTCTGCTGCCTCGCACGCAGTCGACAGGTTTTACGTCATCCTCTTTAAGCAGCCCCTCGCAGAAATGTGTCCGGTCGTACTTCGCGAATAAAGCCTAAGTACACTCGTCCAAAAAAAGCCAGGAGCGAATTTTGCCGCGCAGATGCGCGCGTACGATTCGCAAAATGCGCCTGTACAAGTGTATATAAAATTTCTTGGCGGATGAGGACCAGGTGCGCCAGCGCGTTGCGCAGGTGGGCATGTTGGCCATAGCCGCACGCGGCATGCATGCTGGACTATTGCCTGGATGCTTTGCAGTAACTGAAAGCACCGAATGCCAACGTCCTAGCTTGCAACTCTGGGCTCGTGAAACTGCCGCGGAAGATGAAGCGGTCGGCGAAGAATCAGCCATAAGGCGCCTGCTTTCGGTAGCGCAGCGCATAATGCACATTGTTCCCACTAAACTCAAGTTACACTCTTACGAAATAAATAATAACAACGCAGAATTAGGTAAAGAGAAGAATCGCGAAAGTCGTTCAGAACCTTGCAAGTAAAATGGAACAGCTTTTCGCAGCGCATTCGGCCGTGCCTGCGTTAGCCGTGTTGCAGCTACTACGGAAGGACTTGAGCCAGCAGCAAGCTCAAATTCTGTTTAAGAACGACCGGCATTGTCTTCAGATGGGAACATGTAGTTTTGGTCGGCGCATTGCGCACAGGTACCGAGGTGCAGCTCTCAGGATGGATTTCAGCCAACAAAGCCTCAAGATCTGCTGCACAACCACCGGTGTGTCTTCAGTTGGGCACGTGTAGTTTTGGTCGGCGGGGTCGAGCATCATATGCATTGCGCACAGAAACCAAGGTGCAGCGTCTCTGTAACATCGCCAAAATATCCGGTACGCGGTGGCAGGCTTGCCGAGCACGAAATGAAGGGGGGTCGCATCTCACCATTCAACTAAGCATGCATGTGCTCGGTTGAATGCTCGGTAGCATGCGAGTTTACCTATCAGGATGTTTGTTTGCATATATCCCTCCAAGCGAGAGGGCTTCGACCTATGCTGATGTTCGTTACAAGAAGTGAACTGAGGACTGATGCTACACGTCATGTATACGCGTTGCTTAGCTTGCAACGAGACGCGCCCACGATGAAAGCTTCAGCTACACTCACAATACATTATACTGCTACACTATCCTCTCCAGTCCTACCACATTATATTTCACCGACGTACTTCCGCACCTTCCACATCACCATACGTGCTTTGGAAACGCGGGCAGCTGCTTCACAAGGGCCCCCATCTTTAAGCAGCCCCTCGCACAAATGTGTCCGGTCGTACTGTGCCGAATAAAACATCCGTACATGTCGGCCCAAAAGTCAGGAGCGAATTTTACCGCGCAGATGCGCGCGTGCGATTCTCAAAATGCGCCTGTACAAGTGTATATATTTTTTCTTGGCGGAAAAGGACCAGGCGCGCCAGCGCGTTGCGCAGGTGGGCATGTTGGCCATAGCCGCACGCGGCATGCAGGCTGGACTATTGTGTGGATGCTTTGCAGTAACTAAAAGCACCGAAAGCCAACGTCGTAGCTTGCAACTCTGGGCTCGTGAAACTGCCGCGGAAGATGAAGCGCTGGCGAAGAGGCAGTTGTATGCAGCACCTTGTTCAGAGCAAAGTCAAATTACAAAGTTGCGCAAAGTATATCATACATAAACTTAATTAAACATAAGAACAGATAAGACGTTTAGAGCCTTGTCGGTGACATGGACGCCGCCGTTGGCTTGGAACAGCTATTTGCTGTGCATAGGGACGTGCCCGCGTTAGCCGTGTTGCAACAGCTCAGGATGGATTTCAGCCAGCAACAGCCTCAAGAGCTGCTGCACAACCACCGGGAATGTCTTCAGTTGGGCACGTGTAGTTTTGGTCGGCGGGGTCGAGCAACGTACGCAATGCGCACAGAAACCAAGGTGCAGCGTTCTGTAACATCGCCAACATATCCGGTACGCGGTGGCAGGCTTGCCGAGCACGAAATGAAGGGGGGGTCGCATCTCACCATTCAACTAAGCATGCATGTGCTCGGTTGAATGCTCGGTAGCGTGCGAGTTTACCCCTATCAGGATGTTTGTTTGCATATCCCTCCAAGCGAGAGGGCTTGCACCTATGCTGATGTTCGTTCCAAGAAGTGAACTGAGGACTGATGCTACGGTGAAAGATTTGCACGTAAATTCGCCCGTGCAATAAAACGCCCTGTAACTCGCTTACGCTAATCTCACATTCCAATATGCCACTGCACTTTCCTCTCCAGCCTGGCCACATTCTCTTCCTCGCAAACGTACTTGGGCACCTTACAATCTAACACCATACGTGCTTTGGAAACGCGGGCAGCTGCTTCACAAGGACCCCCCTATTTGCGTTGGCCTTGGGTATTTATGCATGTCCTGCTGGCTAGCTGAGATTATCTCAACTTTTGTTTTTTCAGCTTGCGTTGCGGTACCTTGAAGCGAGTCCGAGCTTGCTTAATCATACGTCATCCTGTACTGCTGTACTACAGTAATGGCGATTATGGTTGTGGTGATTATTTTGTTGGTGTGGTGTACATGTGAGACATCATGTAGAAAACGTTTCCTTGCTCGCCCGTACATGGAACCGGAACCTACATGCATGTTCAGCCATCGTTGGTGATGTAGGTTACCAAGCTACAAGTAATGAGCTGGCGGTTCCAGCAGGGTGATGGCATGAAGGCATCCATGCATCAAGCCATAGAGCCCAGCAAGGGCCCCCTCAGATGGGGGTTTCGGGATAAGGTATCGTACAGCTTAGGGGGCAGCTGAGAGAGGGCGCCTCTCAACCCCCGAATCTAACTAAGAGGACGACGGACGGGAAAGTGGACCAGATGCTCGTCCTTAGGAGATTCACAAATCTAGCAGGTGAATGGAGAAGCACTTTTCAATCCCAGGGAACCTCTTCTCGGATAAGGCGTGTTGGAAAGTGCACGGTAGGTCTGGGAAAAGCCTGAAAGCTATGGCGGCTCAAGTACGCAATTGCACAGAGGAACGGTTCTTGCGATGTTGTCCTGCTTCCAAGCAAAATAAAGCAAGAGGTGAGGTCCGCATTAGGGCTGCCCCCACAGCTCGCCAATGACCTCCCTCGAGCAGGAGACAATTGCTTGAATCCCCCTGCATGCTCGCCTGCTCGCGTAATAAGTTGCCGAAAATTCCAGTACGGTAGTGCTGACCTGCATATAAAACATGCTTTCATTGTAAATACATTAAGACATCGTCTGGACGGTGCATGCTGTGCTGGACGGTGCCTGACAAGTCATGCAAAAGATGGGTGATTCAGGCCTGTTAAGGGTGCCTCGTATGATAGCTGTTCCTCCGGCACCACGCAGGGTGTGTACGGTATCGTCTAGCCCACTGGTCGGGTAAAGCATGCCCCCATGGTACGGTGCAAATTTGCAGAAGGGCATTACTGGCTACATGGCTAATGCTCGTCACTCCGTACCGGACTAGCATGGAGTGGGCCTTGCGTCCAGCCTTACACCCGATCCCGGTGTTTAATCAGAAACACCACATCCCAGATACACCGCCTTGTGGCCCAGTCCGACTGTGCACGAAAGCGTCCGACTGTCAAAGCCCCATTTGCGTCCCTTGCCGGCTTTCTTGGCCGGCCAGCTCCACACACTATGCTCTCCAATCGCCAAGTCGGGACCGTTGCCCCCCTTCACTGGCCAGATGGTTCTGCCCAGTTGTGCTCATCGTCAGCTCTCTCCTCCCTGGGCCCGACAACCGGTCTGCTCTATCTACCACAGAATGTACACCACTTCCACTGCATACCGTGGGGCCTTCGGCTTCCTCTCTGAGCCGCCTGGCACCTGAAGTCTCGGCGTGAAGAGGGTAGGGGGGTGTGGCAGGCGCCTCCGCGCCTTGATGGTGGGTAGGGTTTCCAGCTTAGCCCTCCGCCAGCATGCGGCCGGACCAGGCTGATCAGGACGCAGTCCGGCTTCTCCTCCGCATTCGTATGCACCACTCGCCACATCTGGTCGAATGGGGGGTTAAATGTACAAAATGCCGGTGGCGACCCCACTCACCCCAGTCTTGGGTGAAGGCATCTACAGCCAGTGTGTGGCGACTCCCAATGGCGAGCAAAGAAGCCTCCTGGTATCTTCGTGGAGAACTCATCTGCAAAGGCGTCTACTGTGGGCCTGCGGCGCCCCTCCAGGCACGGTTCAGCCCACAGGCGGGAGAACACCGAGCCATCTAGGTGCCATCGGGAGCCATCGTCGTGGGCTACTTGGAGAGCGCGTCTGCGTACTGCTGTTGCTGTTCCGTGCGGGGTTGCCAGACCAGCTGCACATCCAGGTCCAACTCGGCACACCGCATGTACAGCTCATCCACTCGCTGCAGGCACAAGCTACGGCCCTTCATGCCTAGCACACACAGGGCGGCACCCTGGCTGTCGGTACGGTATTGTAGCGACCTCCCTGTTAGCAAGTGCGGGCCCGCCTCCTTGATCCAGTCCACTGCCAGGGCTACCGTGCAGAGCTCCCGTTCTGTGCTAGACATTTTCCCCCAGGCCATGCGCTCCGACTTTTCCGGGGTGAAAGGCGCTCTCATCTCGCTCGCGTCGCCCTCCTCCAGCTGCCAATCCAGCAGGTAGGCGGCATAGGCCGAGGCTCAGACGCATCACCCACCACTCTCAGCACCGGCGCCGGGCCGAGCCGCCACCACGTCTTACCATTCTTGAGCCGCAGCAGGGTGGTGAAGAGCCGCACCCTGGAAAGGAAAGTGGCCGGGTCTCCCACTGCTGCACCCCTGCTGCTGCACCCCCGACCACTGCCGGGCTCATGGCCATGATCCGCCCTGCCACCTGGGCCACTTCCCGGGCTGTAATCATTTCGGGCCCTGCGGCCTCCAGTTGCTCGACCATTTCTGCTAGCCTCAGGTACTTCGAACGCCTCATGCTGTGTGTCGATGATGTCGAAGCCCAGAAACTGAGATGGTCGTAACTGGCATTTTCCGAGGTGCAAAGTGAAGCCCAGAGCAGTGAGTAGCTCGCCCACCGCCTGACACAGGTGTTGTGCTGCCGCAAGGTTCCGAGCTGCTTTACAGAGCAGTTGTTGATCAGGTAGGGCAGGTCAATGCTCCGCTCCCGCAACGGTGGAAAAAGCTCCTGTTCCAGCAGGCTGTAGACCCAGCAGGCAGGCGTGAATCCAAACGCCATGACAAGCCAGCAGTGCAAGTCACCATCCCATGCAAAAGCGACAAACCAGTACATACATATCCGGGTGCAATAAGCAGGTTCCAGTAGTCGCTTTTGTGGTCTGTGGTGAAGAGGAAGTCGTCCTTTTTCAGGAAGCCCGGCAAGTCTGTGATGCGCTCGTATTTCAGCTGTGGGTACAGCTTGGGGTACATGGGGTTCAAGCACAGGTGCAGCTTCTTGCCCTCCACCACACGCAGGCCACTGATGACCGTTGGTTGTCCCCACTCCACGGGCCACTTGTGAATCAACCCAGTTTCCAACCACTTCTGGATTTCGTGATGAACTCGGCGTGCAGGCTGGTGCTGCAGTGGTTGGGGAACTGGATGGCATGCGGCATTCTGCCGGTCAGGTAAGTTTCTGGGTCCACACCGGGGCCAGTGGCTTGGCTGATCATTTGAAGTACGATGCGGTGTAGGGAACGGAGGCCCCAAGGCCGGCTGGCTACATCCAGTTGAAGCGCACACTTTCCTCTATTATTGTCAGCACCAAGCGCTGGTTGTGGCTTAGTGTTCATGCCCCCTTGCAGCGTTCAAAGTAACAGCACTACAGCTGGCTGCATGCCTACAGGAGTCCTGGCTGGAAATCGGCTGGGTTCCGGACTGCACACCACATTTGTCGAACAACTCTTCTGGTGCTAGCAGTGTGCCAGATATCCCAGCCTGTGCAGCCGAGTTGATCCCTTGCCATGCGCGGTTCAGCTGTTCTGTTGTGCAAGGTAGGTCCATCGGAGGTGACGTGAGCAACATTATTGCATGTTGGCGACCACCATTTTCTTAATGGTCGGCAGCAGCGTGTCTTCTGAAAGGTCGCACCAAGCATCAGCTTCCTGGCTCTCTAGGTCCGGCGGTAAAAGGTTCGCCTTAGTCTCGTCTTCCGTCCACCCTACCCCCCCCACACACATTTCCCCGGCAGGCTGGGGTCGGGGTCTAGCTTCTTTTCTAGCTCCTTCTCCATCCGGCATGCCGCTACTCACGTTCACCATCTGCCATTCAGGCGCCAACACAACAGATATTCAGCTGCCATGTTCCACCTTCCTTCAATTTCATAAGCAGCACCGACATGCACCGTCGGCCCTTCCTTTCCACAAAGGCACCGATCATCAGCTCTGCCCGAAGGTTACACCTCTGCAGCTCTTCTTTCGCCGCGTCTAGGGCCGTCTGCCATGCCGTGGCCCCCTGCTGGCCTTGTCCTGCTGGGGCGCCGGCTTGGCGACCTCCACCATGCCGGCCCTCCCCGCTGCCAAACCTGCCTCCAGGCCCCACGGCCTGCTCTCTGCCCGCCGGCCCCACCTCCAACGCCGCACAAGCTGTCCTTGTATTGTGCAGCTGCATGAAATGTGGTGCACAGGAGCTTCACCGCTTCTCCTAAACACTCCTGTAGGTGCCACAGGCAGCCCAGTTGTGGGCTAAAGCCTATCACCCATATTTCCTCCTCATGCGTGCGTCAAATACTGCACCTTGGCTGAGCTCGGTGGCTGCAGCAGAGAGCCACACGCACTGTGGGGTGTCCGGGGGCAGGTGATGTGGGGCCAGCAGCTCCAATGCGCAGTTAGCCACCTCCAAGCCGCCCAGCAGGGTGGTAAGCTTATTGCTGACTGTGTAGATGTCTGTGTTGTAGCTTACAGAATAGGCGACTAGTGGTGTCATCAGCTCCTGGGCTCTGATGCACCCTGGATGACAGCCTCCACTGTGCTCACGATGTTCATCAGTGGCCGTGGCGCCTAGGGACATAAGCATGCAGCATGCAGATAACTGGCTTGGAGCTGGCCAACTGCGCATTGGAGCTGCTGGCCCCGCATCACCTGCCCCCGGACACCCCACACAGTGTGTGTAGCTCTCTGCTGCAGCCACCGAGCTCAGCCAAAGTGCAGTATTTGACGCGCGCATGAGGAGGAAATATGGGCGAAAGGCTTTAGCCCACAACTGGGCTGCCGGTGGCACCTACAGGAGTGTTTAGGAGAAGCGGCCAAGCTCCTGTGCACCACATTTCATGCAGCTGCACATTACAAGGACAGCTTGTGCGGCATTGGAGGTGGGGTTGCACGCATCTCGGGAAGCTCCCAGGGTGGGGCGGAGAGCAGGCCGCTGGAGGCAGATTTGGCAGCAGGTAACGGCTGATGGCGGACCAGCAGGGGGAAGCGCTGCAGAGCGCCTCTCTCACCGCCCGGCTGAGGCTACACCTGTGGGCTGCCCTGCCGTACACCGGGGAAACTGTGCATAGTTTCCACCGTGGTGCTCTGCAGGCGGCAGTGTCGGCGAGTGGGGATGTTCCCGGCCTGATGAACTTCAGCCAGCTCCAGACTCTAGTGGTGCTGGAATGCTACCTGGATCCTAACAGCCATGAGCACAATGTGCAGTCCCTTAGCTGAAGGATCTCGTTCGTGTCCTTGCGGGTTGGGTGAACCACCAGACGGTTGCCCACCCTAGCTATCGTGAGGGGTTTGCGTTGCTGGGCTTTGTCGTCAGGATATGTCTGGCTGCCATGGGTGGGCGTCTTTGCAACCGCGGAAAAGGGCAGGTCTTCCCAACCGCGGAAAACGGCACGGAACCAGTTACGTTAGAAGCCAGGTAAGGCCAAGCCATTGATCTGTGCACGACAGCGGCACGGGAGCGCGACGAAAAGTGTCGCGCACCCAGGCCAACCGGAAACCAGCGACGGACATTTTTTTAACCTAAACCTAAGGATAGGGAGCACAGCCTAGATGCAAGGAGGAGGCGTACATCGACCGAGCGCATTGGAGACCACAAGAAGCCCAAAGCGAAGCCAAAAAATATTCCTATCACAAGATCCAGGCACTTACCGCCGCTCTGGACCAAACACCTAATGGCCAGGATGTCTCCACTTGGCCGGACATTAACTTTATAATAATATCTTGAATGCGATCTCACTGTATGGTTAGTGAACAGGTGTTTCCACAAACCGCCCCGGAACCATACGACAGGTTGCTATTAAGGCGCCAAACCAATGTTATTGTAAGAGTGGGCGCAATCTTAAGCGCATGCTGCACTGTGCTGAATGGTTATTCCATTTGGAATATGGGCAATTTGAATTATTTGCCGGTCCTGGTCGGAATTCCACTGGTCAATGGGCCATTTGCGGCTACGGATAAAGGAAAACACAGAAGTCAACGAAGGACCTTCAGGAAGGAAAATGGCTCACTACGGATTTTCCCGCGCGGAAGGTCCAGTTTGAAAGTTATCAACAGGTCTAAGGCCTTGATAAATATTGTACCACTAATGTGGACTTAGTGTACGAGACCGTTTCCACTGGGCCCTTCGGCTTTTCGCGTAGGGGGCCCCTTTACGCGATTTTTTTAGCTGCTATAGGATTACTGCAGCGGCAGCTCTACAATAGAAGGAGCGTATACTCAAATTATGCATAACAATATTATAATCTTTATGCGAAAGTTTGGCCTTGCATACATCAATTGGAACGGTAATTTCATGGAACGGTGACTGGTAGCAGATTGCATTAAAACATAATAATGGCTTTCTCGTTTGGCTCAACCGCCCCAGCAGCCACCCCATTCACTGGGGGACTGTTTGGAGCGCCCGCAGCGAGCTCTGCATCTGCTTTTGGCACTAGCACCGTCCCTGCGTTTGGGGCTGCCTCTGCGCCTGCGTTTGGCGCAAGCTCGGCACCAGCATTTGGAGCAAGCTCAGCACCGGCTTTTGGGGCTTCCACAGCGCCTGCCTTTGGGTCCGCAACGCCTTTTGGAGCGCCTGCAGCGGGTTCTACGTCTCCAAGCTTATTTGGATCGACGACTACAGGGTTTGGAACTACAAATCTCTTCGGGCAGCCGGCTTCGGCGCCCGTTACTTCAACTGCGTTGGTTCCAGCTGGGGGCCTTTTTGGCGCGCAGCCGCAGCAGCAAGCACAGCAGCTGCAACAACCTAGACCGGGGCTAAATTACAAAACTAAGTTTGAGGAGTTGCCACCGCAAATACAGCAGGAACTGCAAAAAATCCAGTAGGTTGGGACACCACTGAAAAAAGGGTAGGGGGGGTCAGGTGCCGCAATGGGGAATGCTAACCACCCATGACGCGCGCACTGCATTCCGCGGTCTCAGCTTAAACCAAACACGCCGCGGCTCAAACCGAACCGAAGCTACAAAAAGAGCAGAACGAAGTCCATTCGCAACGGCTGCGTTGTTACCCTCCGCTACAGGCATCCATATCTATTTCCGCACGCATCCATACGACTTCCGTCATGTAACCCATATCGCCCCCGGAGCACCCCCGCCGTGCTTCCCTCCTAGCTTGTGTATGACACCCGTCACATGACTTGAGCTGCATGTTGTTGTTCCAACACATTCCAACCAACACATGACCGCCTCCGACCCCTCGCAGGCAGCAGATCAGCTCTTACCGTGATGAATGCAAGGCGCTGGACAACGATGCCCGGCTGTACGACACTGTCAGCATAAAGCAGGTGAAGCGAGGACTTATTCGTCCGTATCCCCTCTTGTGATCATATTTTCTCCTTCAGGAGCATATGTGTTTATAAACGATTATTGCGCGGGGGGCCCGGGGGTTGAGGGGTTGGGGATGGAAGTGGAGTCTCGACATGTGTACAAGCCAGGCATGTGATGAGCTGAATTGAGCAGCCAAGGGGGCATTAAGGCCATGCACAGTATAGTAAGTCGCCAAGGCAGCGTGGAAAAGGCAGTGCGGCCCTGTGACCGTTTTTGCCACTCGGAATCTGAGTGCCGCATCCACTCATTCAGCATCGGCACTCCCTCTTTCCCCTGTCCCCTGTCCCCTGTCCCCTGACACCCCGCCGCGTTCGCCTCCTTTTTCAGGACTTGGACTCGGAGACCGCGGCTTTGCGGCAGACGCTCCAGAGCTTGTATCAAGCTGTGTTGGCGGAGGATGAGGGGCTGCTGGCGTTCAGAGAGGTGTGCGTGCGCGCGTGTGTGTGTGTGTTTGCGTGTGTTAAGAACAAAGTCCTTAAATGAACTGAGCCGCGAGAAGTACATAGATACAGGTTGAAGATGTAAGTCACATACATGCAGAGCTTTACCAAGGACCCTAAGTAGTCGTACTCCAGTAATGTACTGAACTCACACAGAATCGTTGAATTCAACGACGAGTTGTGGTCCACCGGTTTATAGAACATTAGAGCTCGGGGGGGGGGCGGGCCACGGAAGGTGGGAGCAGTAGGCCAGGAGCGCCGCCCCGCGCTGCTGTGAGTTCTGGGTTCCCCCAATCCTGTCTTATCCTGCTCTCCTCCGTTCTCTTTGGCAGTATGGGTATGGGCATCTCACAACTTCAGGTGCCCCCTTTCTTTTCAGCTCAATGACGATAGGGTCCGGTCAAGTCAGTACAGTCCGGTCCGGTCCGGTTTGCACCCTAATGCACTCCTCCACACCACCACCTACCGAAAATCGCCTGTGTGCTTCGTCGGTCCCCCCGCCTAACACCCTAATTCCCCATCCTGCCCGTCACCCGTTGTACCCACTTGCTCCCAGCGCGTCATGGTGTTGCTGCGCAGCACCGAGACGGCCATCCGCCTCTACCAGCGGTCCAAATTGTGGAGGGAGATCTCCCAGGTGCCGGGTAAGTGCCCTCGGCAGTGCCGGGTATGTATATATGTATGTATGTAACACCATGTGGGGCAGTCAGCCATGAGGACCTCTCTTCCCCGCGCTCCTGGGGGTCTCTTCCGTCCTCTCCCCCGACCACACATACACACACACTCTCTCAGCCCGCTCATGAACATGTGTGTTTGTAATTCTGTTTTACTTTTTTATGATCACATCATCACGTTCCTTTCCTCCATCCAGCACCGCCCTCCCTCCCGCGCACCTCCTCACACCGCTTCCCCCTGGGGCCTCACTCCTGAAGTCCAACACCCCCTACTTTGGGTTTCCCCCCGATCGCTTTGCATATCTCAATCTCCACAATGACCACCCCACCACCAACATCACTCATCACAGATGTAATCCCCCCGCTCTCTCAAACTGTCCCGTTAAACCACCCTTCCCTTCAGGCCCCGGCAGCGGCCAGCAGCAGCTGCTGCTCACCCAGGCAGTTCAGGACCAGATGTCGCAGCCGGTGCAGCTGCCCAACCCCTACCTAGGCCTGGCGGTCCGGGGCTTCAGTGCAGCCATTGAGCAGTACCATAGCTGCATCTCGGAGCTGGAGCGCGTCATGCAGGCCTCGGCAGTTGGGTACGGCGGCACTGACGAGGCAACCGCCATCCTAAACCTGCCAACGCTGGTGTCACACATGCACAATTACTTTGTACACGTGGCAGCGAGGATGGAGCGGCTTCACGGCGAGGTGGGTGGATTGGGATATGGGGGGGATATGGGTGGCGTAGGGAGGTGGAGGGGGGGGGAAAGACGAAACACGAGCGTGTGAAGCTCATGCCAAGGAAGGAAAGACTGCTCCGCCAGATGTAAAGGACAGGAGGGGTGTGTGTGGGGGGGGGGTGGGAACAGGAGGAGAGGAGGAGAGGTGCGCATGCGACTTCTTCCTTTCATCGTTATGCCACCATTTCTAACAACACGCACTGTCCGTATGCGCGCGCGCGTGCGGGGCAAGTTACGGACCCTTAGACTCCTCTCTTGTTCTACAGATACACACGCATGTACGGATTAACACACGCGTTGACATACATACATACACGCACACGCACAGGTGGCACGTGCTCGGGAGGCCTACCTGGCGCAGCAACGAGCTCGAGGCGACTACTCCAACCCCTTTGCGGAGGCCCGGCCCCTGCACCACATACCCGCGGGACCAGGCAAACTGGCAGCTGCCTTGGGCGGCTCCGGGGCAGCCAGTAGCAACTTTTACAGCTTCGGTGGTCCGGCCGGGGGCGGCGGCATGGGGCCCGGTGGCGGCGGCATCATGGGGCCCGGTGGCGGCGGCGGCGGCGGCGGTGGTGGCATGTTTGGCGGCGGCGGCAGCACGGCACCTGCACCCGCACCTGCACCGATGCCGTCGTTGGGTGCTCCCGGAGGAAACACCGCGAGCGGGGGCGGTGGACTCTTTGGTGAGCGCCGCCCCGGGGCGTGTATGTACGTGTGTGTGTATGTAGCAGCGCGGGGATGGCAGCACAGGTCACGGCAATCGACGGTTTTCTGCCTTGGTGGAAGTAAAATGTGCAAGGAGGTCAAATGCGCTTGGAGGGGGAGACTCGCTTGGGGGGGTTGCGCGGTGTGTGTAATGCACAAGACGGGAGTGGGGCTCCTGCTCCTGCGCGAGGGGTTGGTGTGATTGCGGGAAGAGAAAAGGCTGGAAAGGAAGGAAGATTCTTCTTGGTCGTGACGTGTTATGGTTGAGGAGGAGGAGGAGGAGGAGGAGGGTAGGGGCCCCGGGAGCAGATGGGGCCTGACTGTGGGAATAGGGGGGGAGTGATGATGGGGGACAGCGGCAACTACGGATCTGGCCGAACCCCCCAACCCCAACCCCAACCCCACCGGGGTTCCCGGCTTCCTTCAAGACCTCACCCCGGGCATCTGGTCTTCTAGCGGCCGCTGGCGTCCTGAACTCCCTGACCATGATGATGATGCACCTCTGCGTGCCAGCCAGCCAGCCAGCCGGCAGGCAGGCAGGCACATGCAGCGAGGCCCCCCGGTCGCAGGCCTCACTCCGCGCCGGTTCTAGTCCGCTAGCGTAGCCGTCGTTGTCGTCCCTGCGCGGGAGAACTGCTACACACATTCCCGGGCGGCGCTGTATCGTCGTTATCGCTTCTGGGTTCGGTGTCTCTCTCCCGTGAGGAGGAGGAGGACGAGGAGGAGGAGGGGGAGGAGGAGCCCGTATCCCATCCGCGAACGTTTGCATTATAGCCACTACGAGCATCTGTGCAATGTCCATCTCTTTCTCACCCCATCTGTACCTGCCCTCGCTGTGTGTGTGTGTGTGGAATTGCTCAATCCGGTCTTTTCGCCGCAGCAGCCGCGTTTGGCACGTGAACTTTTGCGTCTTGCATATGACCCCCACCCCCACCCGCATCTCCGCCCCAATCCAATCAATGCATGCAGGCGGTCTTAACCCCGTGGCATTCGGCTCTAGCGCCAGCCCCTTCGGTGCGCCGGCCTCCAACCCCACCGGCGCCTTCGGTACCCCCGTCCTGGGAGCCAATGCGCAGCAACAACAACAACAGCAACAGCGGGCGACGGCCACCCGGACCGGCAGTAGCAGTAGCAAGAAGCGGTAGCCGCAGCAGCTACGGCTGTAGCATTTCGGACTTAGTACACAGAGGCGGACGAGTGCTTCTACAGTTCGCTGTCTTCTTTACTGCGGAGTGGGGGAGAGGCAATTGCCACCGCACAGCGTTGTTACACACACACATTTGTGATGCGGCTGTGCAGTCTGAGGAACCGACGCTGCGCCGGCTCGTGAATGGCTTTTTCGCTGTGTGTGGTGTGTGTGGGGGGGGTCCCCCGTATCGAAAGCAAATGTATGGTGGTGGTGTTTTGGGGAGGCGTCGCTCCCACACAGCGGCCGTGGCTCTCGCCGCCCCCCCCCCGCCGCCGCCGCAGCAGCAGTATCAATAAGCTTAGAGCAGCGGTGTTACTACCAGGTGGTACGGGTGGGAGTAGAGTGTGGGCTGGTCAAAATGGATGTGTAAGGGTAGAGGGCTGCTTTGCGTACTAGACTGGAATCAGAGCCTGATGGGCGTGGGTGGGGATTTTTAACGCAGAAGCGGCGGTGCTGTTGATGGCGGAGAGCGATGCTGCTGTTGCGTCTTGTGTAGGCAAAGGCAGCACCGCGTGGGGACCAATATCAATAGGTGATGACGACAATTTGACTGTGGTAAAACGTTCTTGGATCTTGCATCTTGGATGCATCCCGCCCGCAGCTCGCCACGAAAGCATGCATGTGTCATGTCGTATGGCGCAGAGATTGTCGCGTCCACGACTGTATTTATTTTAAAAAAATACAGTTCATTTTTGTTTTGCGCATGATATTGGCACATCGCACCTAAACGCTGTTTCATCTATAAGGCTGTTCCGGGTTGTCCAACAACATCGGATCTGCACTTGCGAGGCAAACATCCACAAGACACTGCCGCCCAACGCGCGTTCGTTCGTCCTCCCGTGCAGATAGGTACAGGTAAAATATTACAGCGAGGGACCCCAGGGGAATATCCCCCACAGGGACCGGATGGTGATTTCCATTTGGCGAGAGCCAAAAAATGCCTTCGAAAATTGCCTTCGCACATGCCAATTGGTCAGACAGCTCACGCGGGAAATAGGTCTGGATTTTCACGTGTTCTGAGAATTGGTGACGGCCAAAAGGCCCACCGCGCACGCGCACAACCGCGCCGTTGAGTCTCAAACCCTTTCAATAACGCAGCGAAAATGACCATCTATTGCCTTGGATGATTAGTCGATCAGTCGCACTCCTAAAGCGAGGTACCGCCGGTGCAACCTCTCCCTACAAACCGCTGCCGCTGGTCCTCCACAACCCGGGAGGCCCGCTTCCAAGCGCGCGCGTTGCTCGTCTCTGCTCCGAAAGTAAGCTCTGAGAGCTTTCGAGAGCTTTATCCGCCTGTCCTCTGTCCTCCTGTCTGGAGGGTCCCCTTGAACAGGAGGGGACCCATTTGATCCCAGGCTTTTTACAGCACCAGCAACAGATTTGCGGCCTTGTCCCGGAGCATCTTCACGGGGTTAGGCAGCCGCATTATGGCTGGGTTGGGGCCGCCGCCGCCCAGCACCCGGTACACCACGTACCGCTCGCCCTGCTCCTCGGCGAACCTGAGCTCGGCCAAACTGATTTCGAACAAGTCCTTGGAGCCGCTGGCGCTGGTCTGCGGGGTGGGGGTGGGCGTGAGAGGAAGAGAAGACCTCAGAGCGGGGAGGGCGAGACGCCGTGGGCGATGTGTGGTGCAGTATGTCAGTATACATGATGGCTTTCGACGCGGCCGGAGCCCATCCACATGCACACACACATACATACACATACATACACACACATATATACACATACACACATACATACACATACATACATACACACACATATATACACATACACACACAGACATACACATACACACACAGACATACACATACATACACATACACTACACATACATACACAGACATACACAGACATACACAGACATACACGCAGGTGATGATGACTTGATGAGCACCCAACGAGCCCACCCTCTGTGTGTTAGGGAGGGGAGAATTTTCGCTCTCCCCTCCCCCCCCCCGCTCTCCCCTCCCCCCCCACCTTTCTCCACAGCACAGACATACACACATAATGCGTGGAAACGCGTACACTGCACTTAACGGGTCGTCAATTGCGACCACATCTCAGGTCCATTTCGTGGGGTGAACGCGTCTGGATGTGGATGTGGGTGGATGTGGGGAAACCTTGCTTGCCGGCCAACCCCGCACCACCCCCGCGGTGTGCTGAGTCCTCCTCGGCCCAGGGGGAGCCGCCGTACCTTGACCTCAATGTACGTCACACTTTCGTCAGCGTGGGAGATGTACATGTCGTACGGCATGTAGCTCTCCTGGTCCCGGTTGAGCCAAGTTACTCGGTCCGCAGAAGCGCTCCCCGCCCGGGCACCAGGCTGCAGGTGCGGGAGCGGGTGTGCAGGGAGCGGGTGTGACCCGGCCAGCGCCAGCGACTGAGGCATTGCCGCCTGCTGCGCCTCCCGCCGCTGGCGCTGATGTTCCGCCTCTAACTGCTGCACCAGGTGACGGAAGACCAGCTCCTCCCCCCAGCGACCAATCTGTTGAGGAGTTCGCCGAGGCGCGAGGGCAGGGGACACCGAAGGCCGTGATACAAGGGGGGGGAGGTGGGAATGGGCATGAAGAGGAGAGAGATAGGGGGATTTGCCACACGGCGGCGGCGCCAACAGCGGCGGTGCAGGTGGCCATGTCTCTCAGTGATTGGGTTGTTGGGTTGCAGGTTGGTGATGCAGGTTAGGGGAGTCCCACGGTGTGAGGTGCAGGGGGGGTCACCTCCATGCGGGGGCATCCAACCCCCCGGGGGCGAGGGAGCCCCGGCTGGCGCGAGGTCGCGGCTGGGTTGGGGGGGGGAGGGGGAGTAGATGGCCTTAAGAGGAGCAGGCTGAGACTGGGGCGGGAGCGCCCGGGAAGAAGGGGCACAGGTTGGTTGGTGGGAATGGAGTGGAGAGGAGCATGCAGCAGCTGCCCACCCGCCCATACACCCACCCTGCGGCGCTGCATGGCCCCGCTCTCCGCAGCACCCCCTCGCCCTCCTCCCCCTCCTCTTCCTCCTCCGGCCGCTGCCGCCCGGCGCTCAAGCTCCTCCCGTACGGCCCTCCGCGGACCCTCCACACTCCACCACTGCGCGGCGTTGCGCATCTGAAACAACAAAGGATGCGGACGACACGGGTGGGTTGGGGGTGGGGGGTAAACAGGGGAAACTCAAGGACCGCAGTTGTCAGGTCCCAGCTCTCACAGCGACACCAAGAGCTGCAGACCAACAGCTGCAGCAGTAACAGTAACAACACAGCAGGAAGCCGAGCCACAGCAGTACAGCAGCAGTAGCAATCTGCGTAGAGCCCCGGCAGTAGCAGCACCCGGCAGCAAGGCAGGTACTCACACGCCTGAGGGTGCGCGACCTCCGAAACACATGCTCCCCCCCCCGCCTGACGACAGCAACTCCCCTCCTCAACCCTTCCTTCAGCCCTGTCACGTCCACTCCAGCACATACAAACACATATACATACACATACACATACACACACGCTCCCCCTCATCCCCCGGGGCCCGAGCCTACGCGGTCCTGGGCGCTCCGCTCGGGTGGCTGCTGGTGCGTCACCGTCTGTACGGCAGCGGCCGTGTCACAGCGAATGGGGTCGTCGCCGCCGTAAGCCTCGAGAGAGCGAGGATACGGCGGCGGCGGCGGCGGCGGCGGCGGTGGGATCTGCTGTACGGTAGCCCTGGGATCGGCGGCGGCTGTAGCTGCGGCGGCATCACGGCTGCCGCCACCGCCGTCGTCGCCCTCTCCGTCACCCTCGCGCTCACTGCTGCCGCTATCACCGCTGTCGCTGCTGCTCGCAGACCCGCTACTGCTACTGCTGCTACTGCTACTGCTACTGCTGCTACTGCTACTGCTCGGCTTGCGGGTCCCTGCGGGGTTGGGATCCACTGCTGCCGCCGTGTTCTGCCCCCCAAGCACACACGTTCTTCGCGTGCCGTCACCACCTCCATCATCATTATCGGACTCGCCACGACGCCGCTTGAGGCCAGCTCGCCCCTTCGCAACACCTGTTTGGCCGTGAGGAGGGCTTTGGAGAACCGCCGTCAGCCCCTGGCCGTATTCCTCCGCCGCCGCCGCATCCGCCGCCGCGGCCGCTTCCTGGCTTTCCTCGGCTGTGCCGCCGCTCGTCTTCCGCCTCTTCCGCTCCCGTGCAGGGCCCCGTACAGGGCCCGCACCGCGCAGGGGCTCGGGATGTGGTTCTGGCCGCGGCGCCGGCGGCGGCGGTGGCGGTGGCGGCGGCAGAGGCGGCGGAAGCCGCCACCGCCGGTGCCGTACACCAGCGGAGCTGCAAGGATCCTGTCCGTTGGCGGCTGCTTGCTCCCGTTGCCCCCCTCCCCGTCCCCCGCCTCCTCCTCCTTCCCTTCCGCCCCCACCGCCGCCGCCACCGCCGCCGCCGTCCAGATCTGCCGCCATCAGCGGCGACGGCGGCAGTGGCCGCACTCCCTGGTGCTCCAGCAGCTGCGCCACGTCAGCTCCCGCCGCCGCCGCCATCAGCGCCCCCAGCAGCCTCTCTGCTAGAGCGGGCCAGGGCCGGCCGCCGCGGAAGAGCCTGAGCGGCGAAGGAGGGGATTGCGTCGGGGCTGGGAGGGAGGGAGCTTTGCCTGTGATAATAATGACTTGTGATCAATTTGCTGTCGCTACACGGGAAGGGCCTCAGTCGCTAGTTCCCTTTCTTAACCAGCACACACACACACACACACCCTCCAGCGGCCCCCAGCTCCTAGGTTGGTTGTTTGGACGCTGTCGGCAGTAGGCCCTGCAGGCGCTCTCATGTCAAATAACTTCCCCCCCCCCCCCCAAAACACATTTCCTCACCTGCTGAGCTCTCTGCTGATGGCGGTGAAGTTGGTGACCTCCCCCCGCTGTACGTACAGCTCCGAACCCACCATCACCGCACCACACCGCACCGCAACCGCCGCCGTCGTCGTCGCCGCCGCCGGTGCCGCTGACCACGCACGAGCCGCCGCCGTTGCCGTACCTGCCGCGACCTCCGCCGCCGTACTGCCGCCAACACAAAGCGTCACCGTGAAGGCCGGCACCACCAGCACCCTGACCAGATCGGGAGGGGGAGGGGGGAGGGGGGTTTTGTACGCGTATGTGTGTTGTATGTATGTCTGTATGTATGTATGTTACACCTCGGTTGCGTTATTACCCAGATAGAGAGGTGTAACGAGTGGCCATACACACGAGCCAGCAGAGGCCCAACAGATCCCGAGAGCTACAAGCACGCAAAAAGGGCAAAAGTCACACAAAATGGAAGGGGCCGACCACACGAGGGGGAAATGCGTGATGGAACAAACAAACAAACAAATAGACACACAAGCAAGCGGCCATGTCACATGAAGGGCTGAAGGGCTGAAGGGCGCTTCACGTCGCTCCGCCTCTCCCCAACAGCAGCACCCCCCCCCTCTCACTTGAAAGCCGGCAGAAGACCCGCCACGGCGTCTGACATCCGGATGACGTACACGATACACGGAAAGACGCCGGCATTGTCGTACAATCGTACACGGAGCGTCGGATCCGTAATTCATCGTCATGCGGTCAGCACCAGGGGGGGGGAAAGGCGACCCGATTTTGAATAAAGTTAGGCACTTAGGGGGCCGAACGGAGGAGCGGCGGATTTTCTCATCGCGCCAGACCGCCGCAACCGTTGCCGTACTGGGATACAAAAGACAATGTGGCGCATCCACCGCCTCCACCGGGGCACAACCCGCAGCAGCACCAAACGCGTACTCGCCCCGACTCTACTGCGCCAGGTCAGGTACTTGTTGGCACACCTTGCACTGCAGCAAACTCGTCCGGCTCGGGCAGCATGTACGACAAGTACGACTCTGCCGCAACGACGGCTTGGCGCACCGCCGATTCCACCATTGTGCCGTACGCAGGCGGACCCTCCGGCTGCACCCTGCGTGTTGTGCAAAAACACGACGGCTTCAGCGACAAGGAGAAGTTCCCCCTCCCTTCCTGGGGCGCCGTGGTTCGTCTCCCACCCTTGGGGGCCCCGAAACCAACCACCAACCTGAAACGCACGCAGCGTGACACCGGCTGCACCCCAAGCGCTTCCAGGAGCGCCGCCGTGGGGCCCTCGGCGCCGCCAGTACGACTGCCGGCCGGTCCCCTCGCAGCCGTCGCTCCGCCGCCGCCGCCTCTCCTCCGCGCCCTCCAGCTCTCCGCCCTCAGCTCTCCGCCCTCCGCCGTGATGGCCGCCGCCACCGTCACAGCCGCCGCCGCCTCGTCCTCCTCCGTCGGTAGCCGTACCAGCTCCAGGCAGGCCGGGCCCGCGAGCACTTCCACGACCCATGGGTCATCGTTCAGCAGCGCCACAGCGGACGTGTTGCCGCCGCCGCCGCCAGCGGCACACCAGCGGGCCGACACGCAGGGCAGCAAAGGCTCGCGCTGCATGCATCTTCCCAGCGCGGTCACCTCCGCCGCCGCCAGTGCTCCCGCCGCCATCATTTGGGCCCAATACGCGTAAATCCGCAGAGCCGCAGTCACGGGCCCGTCGTCCGCTGCCGCCGCCGCATCCTCTCGTGCGCCCCCCCCGACGGCGCCAGCGGCTGCTTCCGCGGCGCCGCGGGAAGGCCCCGTCCCCGACTTGACTCTCTGCACTGACACCGCCGCTGCCGCAGCAGCAGCAGCAGCTGCAGCGCAGCTGCGGAGACACGCCAAATAGTCCGGTACGGATGGTCTCGCGGCGATCAGCATTCTAGGACGCGGCAAGGAGGAGTCGGCGGCGGTAGCGTGAGGGGGCTCCAGGGTTGGATCCCCCCGGCGTCCTCGAAGGCAGTCCCCAGCAGGGCCGGCGGCGGCGGCGGCTGCACTGCCGCTGCCATCTTCCTGTCCTCCTCCTCCACCGCCGCCGCCGCCGCCGCCGCCGTCGTCGTCGTCCAGGTCGAGGTCAATGGCGTTCTCATCGTACACGTCGCCGCTGGCCGCAGCGGCGGCGGCGCCGCTACGGAGGTTTGTGGGCTTGGCGTTGGTGGTTGCTTTTCCCCACGGGGCCCCTGGAGCAGCCGCACCGGGAGCCGTAACCGCCGCAGCGGGATTCCTCTCCGTGCGCACGTCCTCCTCGTCGTTGCCGTCGCCGCCGTCGTCGGCAGCGCTAGCGGATCCCGCCGCCGCGACCCCGCAGCGCGTCGTCGTCCGAGCCAGACGAGCGAAAAACGCACCTGCAGAGGCGCCGCCTCCGCCGCCTCCGCCTCCGCCTCCTCCAGCCGCCCCCTGCGTTCCTCCCGGTCCCCCCCTCGGCCCCTGGTGCCCAGATACCCGGTGCTGAGCTCCCCCCAGGTACGGGGGGGGTAGAAGCCGGGGGGGCGGCCCCACGGGCTGCTGGTGCTGCTGTTTGGTCCGCAGCCCCTGAATGCCGTCCAGTACCTCCGCCGGGTCCTCCAACACCACCTGGCTGCACCTGCAGGGGGGGGGACAGCGACAGCAACAGCAACAGCAACAGCAACAGCAGCAACAGCAACAACAACAGCAACAGCAACAGCAACAGCAACAGCAACAGCAACAGCAACAGCAACAGCAACAGCAACAGCAACAGCAACAGCAACAGCAACAGCAACAGCAACAGCAACAGCAACAGCAACAGCAACAGCAACAGCAACAGCAACAGCAACAGCAACAGCAACAGCAACAGCAACAGCAACAGCAACAGCAACACTGGTTTTGGCGGTCAAGAGGGACGAGAGCGCGTGAATAGGCAGGCCAGGCGAAGTGGCGCCTTTCGTGCGGCTCTCGCATAGATCGGTTCGCAGTCTTCTGCGCCGCTGTGTTGCCTAGCCAGGGGCTGGGAGAGTGTCCCGGTTGGCGTGAGTGAGGGATCGAGGCGCGCGCGGA